ACCCCATAAGTGGTGTCATACGGTCCGGACCGCCCCCACTTTGTGATACTACTGACCTTAGCCCTGACACTTTAAACTAAAATTGTAATGATGTCTTTAATATATATATATATATATATATATATATATATATATATATATATATATATATATATATATGACTAGGGGAATAGACCAGGTAAGGTTTAAGTCGGAGAACCTTGCAACCAATCCATCTACTACTAAGTGTTATAAGACTTTTTTAATTGAACCTACACTCAGGGCAGTAGCGGGGGGGGGGGGCGGGGGGTGCGGACCGCACCGGGTGACACCATTTAGGGGGGTGACACCGAGGCAAAAAATAGCAAAATATATAGAGAAAAACTTGAGGGGGCGTGCAAATCAAAAACTTGAGGGGGGGGTGCAAATCGAAAGTTTGAGGGGGGGGGGGGTGCAAATCGAAAACATGAAAGTTTGTCCCCGGGAAGGGTCGCAACGCCTCTGGGGGGGGGGGGGTGACACCATTAAGTGCCGCACCGGGTGACACCCGACCTCGCTACGCCACTGCCTACACTTACATCTATATCAATCTCATATGTCATATATCGTATACATATTTTTATAAAGTTATAAAATACCAATATAAACCATACACTAAGAAAACCCACCAGTATACAACATTTTCTGTTCTTCCATTTAATTTTTGAAGTTTTTCCTAACGCGACTATTAATTTGAGGCTTTTGGGCTTTATAATTAATTTAAGTACACCCTCCCCACATTTTAGAACCTTCTATTATTATTGACGTGTGAACGACACTCAGTGTGTTGATGCGGTATCCGGATACGTTTCATGTTTGTTTACTTTTTAGAGTTAAGGGGCAGTAACCGTGTCAGCGGGGTTTTAACTGAAGAGTTTTATTTAGCCTGTGACCTATTTAAATTATGTTTTCGTCTAATTAAGTGCCGGTGAACAGCGCTTGATCTTGACATCGTAAATGTAACATCACGTGTTTTAATCTTCGTGAAGTGATGTGCTATTAGTGTAATTAATTAGGACGTAGTTCGCAGAGGCGTAGCTAAGGGAGGGCGGGGAGGGCGGCCGCCCCGGGCGCCGACCCTAGGGGGGGGGGGGCGCCAAAAGAAGTAGAATTTTTTTTTAAAAGCTCATTTTAAGCTGCAGTTTTTAATTATAAACAGTCAAAGTAAAGAAAGTAAACGACTGAGAGCATTTGCATACTCATTTAACTGTTTTCTACATTGATTGTGTAACTATAAAACATTTATGCTTAAGAAACAGTGACCGCAAAAACCGCTTTCCAGTTTTCCTAGATAGGTAAGGGGGGGGGGCGCTTTTTCGAAGACTAAAATCGGAAAAATTCACACCGGATTAAGGAATAAATAACCGACATCACTCAGAAAAGAAACCCATTGAGCTAAAGCGTATTTTACGATTGTGTTACATGAAAAAAAAGTTGACAAAATCCGATCGTGAAACATGAGTCTGCTGAGTGTCTTGGCCTCTGCGGAAGCCCTGAGACTGAATTACCGAACCTCTTGGGTTAGATGGAACCCACTGTTCTAAGCTCTTTTGATTTTCTTCTTTTTATTCGTTTCGGCTTCCTAAAGAACATAGGCGTAGGCAACACTTCGTCAACTCACTTGATTTTTTATGAATATCGAACTCTAATAATACAGCCTCCTCCTTCTCTAGTTCAAACGATTTCCTTGGGAACTTATATAGTCTTTTTCTCTTCCTCTTTCCTAATGGACTTCACACAAGCACCTGCATAATGATGCTATTTTTTGTCTTTCTCATATTGTGTCCTAACCACCACCTTTTCATTCTCCACTGTCTATTAACCTAGCTCCGAGCCATACAGTAAAAGAGAAATCATATTCAGCTATAGATCCTGAATGAATATCTTTGACAATGCATTTGAATTCCACATCGACTTAGAATGTTAATACGCATTTTATCGCTGCTGATTCTAATCTGAACGTCATGAGCGTCAGCTATTATCCATTAAAAAGGTTATTACTGCTTCTTCAACTAGTACAATTAGTTCTGCATTTGTTGTTGACTGTGCGAGAAGGCAGCGCACATCTGATACATTCAAGACTTCAAGCTGTTGTGTCCGTTAGATTCCAGTTTGCTTCCTCTAGCTTGTTTCATTATACAATCAACCAGTCAACGAAATACCCATATCGTATTCCAATGTGAACAATAATTTGCTATTGTATGTCAATTGTATGACCTTAATCTAACAAACTTATAATCCAAATATGTACTATATCATAACAGAGACTGTTCCAAGTAAAGTCGAGTAAAGTTTTAGGGAACGAAAATCATACAGCGTAATTATTTTTTTCAGACTGCTGCACATACACATATATACACACACACACACAAACATACACACAAAAATACATACATATATATATATATATATATATATATATATATATATATATATATATATATATATATATATATATATATATATATATATATAGGGCCTATATGGGGGGGGGGGCGCCAAACTGAGAGTTCGCCCCGGGCGCAGGGATGGGTCACTACGCCTCTAGTAGTTCGCATGCTTTCAACAAACATAATTGTTTTTCAACTTGTTCATATTGTGAATGGAATCACGGCCACTGCGATCTAAAAATATTTGTCAACACCAAAATAGCGTGACGTTTTGCTTGTTTGTGTAGTACTGACCGACATAGCTTTAGAGCATCTTCATTAGTGTTGGTAGATCTAGCCATTGAGCTGGTGAGAGGGAGTGCTAGATATAGACTTGAATCGATTCAAAAATATACTGTTGGGGGGGGGGGGGGAAAGGCAGAGGCGTAGCGACGAGGGGGGGTACATTTGTCCCCGGGCGCCGACCCTAGGGGCGCCTAAATAAGTTGGAAAAAAATTAAAAGCTCATTTTAGCTGCAGTTTTGAATTATAAATATTAATATAGGGGGGGGGGGGGCAAATTGAAAGTCTGTCCCCGGGCGCCGGGAGGGGTCGCTACGCCTCTGGGTGGGACCTCGGCGTTCTTTATTAGATCTGTGTGGAAAATGAGAGTGAGGATACTCGTCCGTCACAAGCTATTAATTGTGTTTTAAAGCAAAATATTTTCAATCACAGCATTGGTAGTGTCGAATTCAAAAATTATGAATTACTGAAAAATAGTAATTAAACTAAATAGCGGCGTATGCTACGTCGCGGGTAAGTTCGTAACTAGATAATTTCCGACGCTAAACTAAGGTTTTACCTAATTTTATAACATCGGTGTTCTTTAATGTCGAAGAAATCTCGAAAAGTGTGCAACTTTAAAAATAAAATTACCGCACCAATTATCACAAAACGGACGGTGTGTTTGTTTTTAAAAAGTTGCTTTGGAGATAGATACAAAAAAATTAAAGCGATACCTAGATCCAAATGATAGAAAAGATCACTTCATTTCATTACAATGAAAACAAAACTACAATGTGTAAGTACATGCTCTATTATGCGTTAATATACAATGTTTTTATAAAAGTATTTTACTTTATTTGGAATTATAAATTAGCCATGTAAAAGCGATTGGCTTGGTTCACAGCCCGGATTTGAATTAGAATCTAGATCTATCTCCAATGCTACGCGTATGAAAACAAAATGACTCATATACAACATTATAGTAGAATGGATGCAGATTTACAGGATACTTTCGATGTGTTTGTATGTGAAACGGTCATTACATAGCGCCTAATGGAAATCGGGAGTTCCGCTGCGTGAGCGCTGATGGACAGAGACCTCTAGATCTAGATTCTAGATCTTTTTTAAAAAAGGTTAAATGGTCAGATAAAATGGACACCAATGTGTTAATGACGCCCTTCCGATCATTATAGTTGACATGGATCAGAAATCAAAAATGTAAAGTTTTAAGTTTTAAGAATCAATGCTATAAAAGTTGCCAATGCAGAAAAATTGAAAATAGTTTTCGCTACTTTCTATGTATTCACATCTAGATCTAGATCTAGATCTAAATTTTTACCTGAAGTTTTACGTTAGTAAGACAAACTTTGAATCGTTGTTAATTTCTTAATGTAGTTCATGCCGTATTCACTATAATTGGGGCGGTGTGGCCTAGCTAGACTGCTAACCCGAAAGTCTCGAGTTTGAATCCGGGTTCAAGTCAGTAGACCGTCCCTGAGTCAACCCAGCCTTAATGGGTACCTAACTCACGTTAGGGAATATATAGATGGCTGGGCCCAGCGCTGGCCACTTTCCCTTTCTATACTAAGGGCTCTGAAACAGATAAACTCTACTTCCTCTGCCTCATGTGTTTTGGGCACCAACTGGAAACGATGATGACATGATGATGCACTATAATTAATTATCGTAACATCATTCTAACCGTATTATTTATATCTAAATTTTAAATTTTTACATATCGAGGAACTAGCTAATCGGGTCGATTCACGCTTTAAGGGGCAATTACACCATTGGAAAGGGGCAATTACACCATTGGAAAGGGGCAATTACACCATTGGAAAGGGGCAATTACACCATTGGAAAGGGGCAATTACACCATTGGAAAGGGGCAATTACACCATTGGAAAGGGGCCATTAACTCATTGGAAAGGGGCAATTACACCATTGGAAAGGGGCAATTACACAGAGGCGTAGCGAGGGGGGGGGGCGGGGGTGAGGACCGCACCGGGTGACACCATTTAGGGGGGTGACACCAAGGCAAAAAATAGCAAAATATATAGAGAAAACTTTGAGGGGGTGCAAATCGAACGTTTGAGGAGGAGGGGGTGCAAATCGAAAAAGTGTCCCCGGGAAGGGTCGCTACGCCTCTGGGGGGTGACACCATTAAGTGCCGCACCGGGTGACACCCGACCTCGCTACGCCACTGCAATTACACCATCGGAAACTGTTACACAATCAACAGTGTAAAGTATCACAATACACGCAACGGTAAATCACCTAAAAAGTCAAGAGAGACAAGTCTAAAAGTCCATTCACTGGATGTTATTGTGTTCACAGAACTTGGTCGGGATGTGTAAATGATGTAAAGACACAAGAAACGATAGCAATGTTCTACAACTTAAAGCACACATCCAAGGTATGTTCTAGTCACATGTTTTTGCCGATTTTTACGCCCCGTTTACCTTAGACATAAATACAATTTTCCTGACCACCCCCTCCCCCCTTTAAAATTACATTACTCTCCCCTTCCCCTGATTTCTATGCATAGAGACTACAATTCCCTTCCGTATTTTCAGGCTTGTTGATTTTGCCAAAAACATTGTGTTGCTTCCCTTTGAAACTAAAATATCCCAATATTATTATTAACGCACATGTGAACCGGTTGATTAAACCGTAAACATTTTTAATGACTATTTAATACTCAACATTCAAGTCAGTTTTGGATTTTGTGATCAATTTGCATTAAAATTTACAACAAATAAAATATATTTATCCTTTACGATGCCCTACCATCTCATAAACGTGTGAAGTCCTTAAGGGACTTACCCCTATCCAATATTAAAATAAACTAGACAACCCAGTTTCCACCTCGGAAACTGTCTATTATTTGTACTGCACAACACAAACCAATATCCCATGTTACCCATCGTTTAATCCCATATAAATCCCTGTTTTTTACCCTCACTCCCTCCTCTCTCCACTTCCTTCTCACCAAAACCCTCTTTACTCTCCCCACACCTCTCCCCTCCCCCACTCCCCTTTTCATGTGGATGTCTTAAAAGGATGTCTCTTAACTTTAATTAAGTGTGGACCTGATTACCTAGTTACATCTTATAAGTCAACAGACCATCCGCTGCCGTCTTTTTTTTTTTTTTTTAAGTGAAAGAGTTAAGGAGTTTACGAACACAACAACTAGTGTGTGTTAGGTCATGAATTTCTGTTGTATTTTATCCAATTTCTCCTTATGTAGGGTTTCTATTACTATGTTGTATGTCGGTACTAGAGGTTTGTTTGCGTCCTTTTCTTTCTTCTTCTTCTTCGTTCTTAATTATTAGTGTTGAAGGGGATTGAGATTTATCTGCCAGTGGGTTTGAACTCGAGACTTTTGTTGGAATTTATCAACCATTAGCTTTTTGCCGACTCGACCACGCCTCCAACACAATTAAGCGTTACGTGTCAACTGGTTATGCTCCATTGAGGCCATTGACTCCGATTTCAGCCTGCTTTTCTTTTTTGGATTTGCTTCCATAGCCTTTGTCCAACCAAGAACAAACTACAAGGCAGCAGTTGTTTCATTTTGGAGTTGTCTCTCCTAGAAGAGTGGCTGTCCCCAGCTAACGAGCCTCATCTGCCCGAGGGTTCGAACTCGAGTCTTTTCGGTTTAGCAACCATGAGCTTTACCACGACGACCCCTTTGCGTCCTTTTAAAAACGTCAATAAACCAGCAGTAACGCATACAATATCATACTTGATGTTTCTGTTACAGATGTTGGTTTGGCTGGTCCTGTTGACTGGGGATCTCGGCGTTCAAGGTACCACCAAAAATGTCTGTACGCTGGAAAAAATTTCCTTCAGTGTGGAAGAATACAAAGCTGAGTTTAAGCTTCTCATAGAAGGCGAGAACCACACCAACGTCCCTAAACCCGACCCAAACAACAAACTTGAACAAAGTCCCTTGTGTGGTCAGACTCTAGTTGACCAGTCGCGGGCCATTGTCAGGGGAGAGGAAGCTCCTGAGAATGCCTGGCCGTGGTATGTCTATCTCCTGACACATGTCTCTGAGGGAACTGCGATGTGTGGGGGTTCAATTCTCACCGAGTGGTGGATCCTGACAGCAGGACACTGTATGATTTCACGGAACTCTACTATCATGGTTTACTTTGGATTAACTGACAAAACACAACTGGACACGGCAAAACCTATCAAAGCTGAAAAGCGTTTTACAAAACTTTATATTGAAGATGGAGTTGTTTACAATGACATCATGCTTCTCAAGCTTGAGTCTCCAATAACCTTCTCTGACGCAATCAGGCCGGTCTGCTTGCCCGAGGAGGACATGAGCAAGTCTAAAAATTGTTTTAGTATTGGATTTGGAGCAACCGCTCCTGTGGGAGAAATTTCTAAAAAATTGATGCAAATCAAATCCAACCCCATGGATTATAAACTTTGCAGGTTTTTCCTTCGCTATATTGCTATGCTTAACCACACAGAAAATTTGATTTGTTCCGATGTGGAGCGAGGCCAAGGAACATGTTTTGGCGATTCAGGGGGCCCCATGAATTGTAAGGCCAATAGCAGATATTTTATCGTCGGCGTGACGTCTACCACGTTTGAGTGTGGGCAGACCGAGTTACCATCTGGCTTGGTTTCAGTGTATGCCTGGATAGAGTGGATTAAAACCACAATCAAATCCAATTCGTAACGAGTTACGGCAGTGGCGTCGCAAGGTTGGTTGTCACCCGGTGCGGCGCATCCTGGTTTCACCCCCTCCCCCCCCCCCAAAAAAAAGCATATATATATATATATATATATATATATATATATATATATATATATATATATATATATATATATATATATATATATATATATATATATATATACATACACATATATACATATATACATATATATATATATATATATATATATATATATATATATATATAGTGTGTGTATGTATGTGTCGGCCTATAATTTAAATATATGCCTCATACGTGTACATGTAATAGTAATGATGTTTATCTATAGTCTTTTAACAATATAGTTGGATTGTAGCATTGTTTTCTATATAGTTAGCACGTTTACATGGTGCCATTGTAACTCTCTTGTAATAATTGTCAATGTGTACTTAAAAGACTATTTAACTTAATGGAACTGGTAAAAAGGTATTTTACTTCTGTACATATTGCAATTTTTTGCCTTGGTGTCACCCCCCCTAAATGGTGTCACCGGTGCGGTCCGCACCCCCCGACCCGCCATCGCTACGCCTCTGAGTTACGGTAGAAACATTAAGCCTAATCTTTAAACCTTCTTTGCTTACAATTATATGCTTGAGATTTGTGACATACATTTTATAAATGAGTATTCATGCAATGCTCTAGACTCTACGCATGTTTTAAAGGACTATGTCACTTTGTTTTTCCCTTTTAAAATTATATATTGTTTCTCTATTTAAAGCAATAAAAATTAAACATTGTCTTCGTTTTCACGTATACTTTAGAGAGGTAATGAGTTGGAAAATGGGCTAATTCTAAACCGTTATTTACTACCTTTACATCATATAGTTAAAAATTATCGCAAATTTTACATTTCTTAAAAAAAATTTTTAATTTTTTTTAGTTCTGAAAAGTGATTTCTAACAATTATATAAGGGTATAAAATGTGTGTATGTGTTACTTTATTATGAGGTTTTTACTACCAATATCAGAGCACACATGAAAAATTCACGGTGAGATACCACTTGTCTAAATATGTGACAGAAAACACGCGATGCAGTTGAACTTTAATTTTTGTTTTTTCTCTTGCCGTCGACAGAATTAGTTTCTGTCCATTCCATGTTTCTTTCTTAAGTTCTTAATTTAGTGTTGGAAGAAATTCCCTCCCAACACAATTAAGTTTTACGCGTCAACTGGTTATGCGCCATTGAGGCAATTGACTTTGATTTCAGCCTGCTTTTCTTTTTGGATTTGCTTCCATAGCCTTTGTCCAACCGAGTTCAAACTACAACGTAACAGTTGTTTGATTTTGGAGTTGTCTGTCCCCAATTGTTGAGCCTCCTCTGCCCGAGGGGTTCGAATTCGGGATGTACCCATCTATTTTATAAGAGTTTTCAATGGTAAAAGTCGACCTTTAGCTTATTCTGATAATTGACATTGATTGGCTCTCACTTTGAAAATATCAGAAGGCCATTTGAAGTGATAACTTTGAAAGAAATCAATATATTTAGCTGTGTTGATGAGTGACTTACTACTTGTTAGGAGACTTTTAACTTCATTAGACCTACTTAATTAATGTAACGCTTAAGCCAATTAGCGCTAAAGCGCATTTTAAATACTTTAGAAAACACAATATTGGAGATAAAGCGATACATTTTTTTCTTCTATTCACTCAAGCTAAGAGGAATAGGTAGCAGAAATATTTTAAAACATGTATAAGCCTTTTGAGCAGTATTTATGATATATTGTTGGTAGTAATATTGATTTTCAAAGTTGTATTTTAATCACGTTAATTTTCTACATCTTTAGGAGCCCTACTTTTATAAGTATAGTCAAAAAACATCTGTATGCATATTATGCATTAACTTGTATTAGCAGTCATTTGCAGATAAATAAAAACGACAATTCTCACAAAAAGTTAATATCAAAACGAACATGTAAAACACACTTAAAACAGTCACAATAAGTAATAATAGGAATACCTTAAAAGTTTAAATATTTAATTTTAAAAAAAATCTGAATACACTTTTTAAAATAAATTTTAAAAATCTGTTTTTAAGGTCCTTGCATCATTTTCTGTTAAACTGTGAGTTTCCTCCCTGTAAGGTCCTTGCATCATTTTCTGTTAGACTGTGAGTTTCCTCCCTGTTTCTTGATAGTGCAGGTGAGTTTTCCGTTGGCCCATGTGCATGAGATATCTGGAAAAAAGTTTAAAAGATTATATTCCCGATGAAGGCATATATTTTGTATGGTTAGAAGATTACAATATACATAACTGCCTGTTATTTTATGCATATATTGATTAAATATATATATATATATATATATATATATATATATATATATATATATATATATATATATATATATATATATATATATATATATATAAATGCACAACTTGCACGGCCGCATACTAGGCTTAGGCTTTGGGATTACCTGCAAAACAAAAGAAAAAAAAAATCTTTAAATTACTATTATTATCAAATCAGCAAGCATACGGATTGCTACAGCCTCCTCGCAAATTCTGAATATACAAACCCATTAATATACAAACCCATTAATATACAAAGCAATTAATATAGTTTCATGTTATCAATATTGCATCTCAAATTCATTTGTTATTATATTTAATGAATGGTCCTTTTGGGTGTGTAATGGTGAAATATAAAATAAACGTAATTGAAAAGAAACACTTTAGAAAAATTAATTAATTGATTGTATTCTTGAATAGCAAACACTTGTATGTATTGAGTATTATATTATATGTTGCGTTTGTAAACAATAAAAACAGAATTATTACAACCTGTTAGTTGATCAGTATACATAGGAAACGTCAGAATGTCTAAACATCTATGGATAACAATTTCTAAAATAGGGCCGACTTACTATTCTCCATCTTTTGGATCTGGGTTCACCGAGTCCCCTATCAGAGGAAGATCCCAGTGGAACCCCATCTGAAATAATAAAATAATTAGAACATATGCATGTTATATTATCGTCCATGATGCTATAGAGAGATTATATGGATTGCTATAGAAAATGGATTAAAGGGATCGTCCATGTTGCTGTTGATAGAGAGATTAAAGGGATCGTCCATGTTGCTGTTGATAGAGAGATTAAAGGGATCGTCCATGTTGCTGTAGATAGAGAGACTAAAGGGATCGTCGAGAAATCCCGTTGTGGATCATCGATGCAGTGGCAGGGGTAGAAGTGACGTAGAAAACATCTTTAAGCACCAAAAATTATGTTTTAATGGATTTATTGAAAGACTCAAGTGAAAGGTACTAATGTTACCTGCCCTCTCCCACGCAGGACCTTTCTTGACAAGGCCGGCTCTTTCCGGGACACCCATCTGAAAGTAAAAGAAAAAAGAGAAAATACAAAAACATGTCGCTTGTCGGCGGCTTTTAAAATAAACCGGGAGTGATCTCCCCTAAACTTTCTCGAATATTCTTATATAAAATAACAGGGGATGGGAACTCGGGCTATAGACATGATTTTTAATCCATTTTGAATACTTAAAGTTTTAAAAATAGAATAAAATCTCGTAGACAAATTAATTGCACACCAAGTGAACGCCAAATAAAAAAGCGCATAATAGTGCGCAATATTATTATTACTTTTAAAATTTACATTAGTTTTTTGAGAAATCGGAAGTAGCGTAAAGTACTACTTCCAGTCAACGGAAATGACTCAAAATTTAATAGAAGGTAGAGAATTAGATCTTTTACTTACATGTGAAATTTCATTTATCTATCTGAAATAGTACTCAAGTTATAGGCTTTTGGGGTCGGCGTGGTCGAGTCGGTATAGCTCATGGTTGCTAAACCGTAAAATCTCGAGTTCGAACCCTCGGGCAGATGAGGCTCGTTAGCTGGGGACAGCCACTCTTCTAGGAGAGACAACTCCAAAATTAAACAACTGCTGCCTTGTAGTTTGTTCTTGGTTGGACAAAGGCTATGGAAGCAAATCCAAAAAGAAAAGCAGGCTGAAATCGGAGTCAATGGCCTCAATGGCGCATAACCAGTTGACACGTAACGCTTAATTGTGTCGGAGGCGTGGTCATAATTAAGAACGAAGAAGAAGAAAGAAGATAGGCTTTTGAAAAATTCAAAGTAGGAAAAGTACCACTTCCGGTTATCGGAAATCGCTCAAAAGTTGATACGGATCTACGATTTTGATTAAATACTTATATATGAAATTTCATCAACCTAGCTGTAACGGTACTCAAGTTATCGTGTTTACACACGGACAGACAGACAGACACACAGACAGACACACAGACATACGGACAAGATTGCAAAATTATGTTTTTCCGTATCAGTGAGGTGTGAAACGTCGAGATTTGTAAAAATCTCGATTTTTTTTTTTTGCACGATTACAAGACTTTCTCTATACTTCGTATATACGAGAAAGTAAAAAAAAAGGACTACCTGCTTACAGAGTTGTGGAGATGAAATGTCTTTCTGCTTACAGAGGTCTGGTAATGAAATGTCTTTCTGCTTACAGAGGATATGACATATCACCAAGCCAGTACACAGAACAGGACATATCCTTCCAATCCAGTACACAGAACAGGACATATCCTCCCAAGCCAGTACACAGAACAGGACATACCCCCCCCCCAAGCCAGTACACAGAACAGGACATATCCTTCCAATCCAGTACACAGAACAGGACATACCCCCCCCCCCCAAGCCAGTACACAGAACAGGACATATCCTCCCAAGCCAGTACACAGAACAGGACATACCCCCCCCCAAGCCAGTACACAGAACAGGACATACCCCCCCCCCCCAAGCCAGTACACAGAACAGGACATACCCCCCCCCCAAGCCAGTGCACAGAACAGGACATATCCCCCCCAAGCCAGTACACAGACAGGACATATCCCCCCCCCAAGCCAGTACACAGAACAGGACATACCCCCCCCAAGCCAGTACACAGAACAGGACATATCCCCCCCCAAGCCAGTACACAGAACAGGACATACCCCCCCCCAAGCCAGTACACAGAACAGGACATACCCCCCCCCCCAAGCCAGTACACAGAACAGGACATATCCCCCCCCCAAGCCAGTACACAGAACAGGACATATCCCCCCCCCCCAAGCCAGTACACAGAACAGGACATATCCCCCCCCCCCAAGCCAGTACACAGAACAGGACATATCCCCCCCCCCCAAGCCAGTACACAGAACAGGACATATCCCCCCAAACCAGTACACAGAACAGGACATACCCCCCCAAGCCAGTACACAGAACATGACCCATCCCCCCCAAGCCAGTACACAGAACAGGACCTATCCCCCCCCCCCAAGCCAGTACACAGAACAGGACCTATCCTTCCAAGCCAGTACACAGAACAGGACCTATCCCCCCCAAGCCAGTACACAGAACAGGACCTATCCCCCCCCCCCCCCAAGCCAGTACACGGAACAGGACATATCCCCCCCCCCCCAAGCCAGTACACAGAACAGGACATATCCTTCCAAGCCAGTACACTGAACAGGACATATCCTTCCAAGCCAGTACACAGAACAGGACCTATCCCCCCAAGCCAGTACACAGAACAGGACCTATCCCCCCCCCCCCAAGCCAGTACACAGAACAGGACATATCCCCCCAAGCCAATACACAAAACAGGACATATCCTTCCAAGCCAGTACACAGAACAGGACATATCCTTCCAAAACCAGTACACACGGCACGACATATCCCCCAAACTAGTACACAGAACAGGACATATCCCCAAAACAAGTACACACGGCAGGACATATCCCCCAAACCAGTACACACGGCAGGACATACCCCCCCCCCCACCCAATCCATTCTTGAATAGCAGGATGACCTTCCATGCGAAACAGTTGTCAGTAGACTTGTTAACCTGGGGTAGATGTCATGACTTTCTAGATAGTTTTTAAGACTTTAAAATCTTGAGTGAGTCCTTATTGAAAACCTTTTTGCAAGTACTGAAATTAGAGTCCGCAGAATTTTTGGTTTGGTTATTCAAAACTTGGAGCCAGGTGCAAAATAAATTATGTAATTTGATACTAGATTGTCTGATAAAAATTTCTTTTTCATAAGGCCTGTTTAATTATGAAGCGCTTTTTCAGCAGTGTTGATTTAATTTGCTCAAATAAATTTAATTCATGTAAGCAATAATTGCAAAGGTCATAAGAATATACCTTGACCTAAATTCATTAGGTCACATAAAGATAAAGAAGAAGGGATGGCGTGGCATAGCGGTAGAGTGGTAGACTACTAACCCGAAAGGCTCGAGTTCGTAGAGCGTCCCTGAGTCCACCCAGCTCTAATGGATAACTAATTCACATTAGGGAAAATAATGTGGTGGCTGGCGATAGTGCTGACGACACTATCCCTCCACATGCCGAGGTCAATGAAAAAGAAACTCTAGTTCATCTGCCCCGTGAAATAGGAGAAAGCGCAGACCATCTCGGGTAACACCCGTCACACTAAAAGGACAGATGAAAAAAAAAGTCGTTAGGTTAGGTTAGGTTTGCCTGTCGTCCCTACTGGGACATAGGCCGCTGACAAGAGCTTTCCAGGCGTCTCTGTCCTGGGCTAGTCTCTCCAACTGTCCCCAGGTCAGTGGCGTAGCGAGGTCGGGTGTCACCCGGTGCGGCACTTAATGTTGTCACCCCCCCCCCCCCCCCCAGAGGCGTTGCGACCCTTCTCGGGGACAAACTTTCAAGTTTTCGATTTGCACCCCCCTCACTCAAACTTTCGATTTGCACCCCCCTCAAGTTTTCTCTCTATATATTTTGCTATTTTTTTGCCTTGGTGTCACCCCCCTAAATGGTGTCACCCGGTGCGGTCCGCACCCCCCGCCCCCCCCCCCTCGCTACGCCCCTGCCCCAGGTGTATCCAATCTTCTTGGTGTCTTCTTCCAGGTCACGTCTCCAGGTCTTTCTTGGTCTGCCTCTCCTCCTCGTGCCTTGTGGATTCTAGGTGAGAGCCTGTTTTATAAAATTATTTATTTTAGTTACATCAATAAATGTGACATATCACTTCTCATCAGAATTGTGAGGCTGTAGGCAATTTTTTTTAAAGGCGAATTTTCACAAATCTCACAAATCTTGGCTTAAATGACCAAGTAACTTGATCATTGTTAAATTTCTTACCCAACTTGATACAAACAGGCGAATGGAGATGGCAACAGATAAAAAATATCAAATCGCTTGCACGAGTTGAGTTTGTAACTGAAAGTTGTAGCGGTTACCTCTCTCCTATTTAAAAAAAAAAATTAATTTGTGTGTTGTTGCGTGAAAATGTGCGTTCTTTAATAAACGGTTAAGGAATGCTGCCAGAATTTCTCCCAGGGATATCCCCTCCCCCCCCCCCCCCCCAACGAAATAGAAATTTTATACAAAATATATTCTTTGACCAGTCCCCCGTCCCGTCCCCCGTCGTCGTCCCCCCCCCCCCTCCCGTAAAATTTACTCCGCCTCCCGCCCCCGAAAGTGTCAAGTGTCCCCACCTCCCTGAGAAAAAAAGTCTGAAAGAGACACTGATTCCTACCAGACAATGTTAATCCGTATTTTTTCTTTAACTCTGACTATTGTTACGTGTAAGAACATTCGAGAAATTTTTTTTACTCTTTGTTTTATTCTCTTAACTTGACAACCAATGGCATATACAGGCGTTATTGCTGTTAGGAGTGCATGCCTTGGGACACTGCTGTCATCTCAGGCAATAAAATCTGTTATGGCATTTCGTCATAGACCGTGTACACACATACAGACACTACACACACACACATCCACTCAAACACATGTTTCAGTGTGTTTGTATGTTAGCCTTTATGTATTCATTTTTAATGTATAGAATAAATTTTCATATTCAGCCAAACTCAAAATCAGCAAGTCAATAGTTTTTTTTTTAATTATTCAGACATGACAATATGTTATCTGCATACATGCATACGATAATGATAGTCCAGAAGAATAAAACTGCATTCTTGTGTTAGGCCTATACATTTTTTTTTCAATGAAGTAACAAAAGGCTTTTTTGAGTATTCGCAAGAACGACAACTAGGTTTATGTTTACTTTAGTTACTGGTTTATTTGATTATCTACCCTGAAACTAAATATTATATCGGGTTTTGACCAAAAATGGTCCTTTCAGTTTGGGATTCGGCCACCCACTTGCGTTTCAGCATGCAGCGAATGTACAATGATAAAGAAATAACGCATTCCTAAACATTACTAGCCATTACTAATACTAACAATAAGTAACCCTTATTAACCATTACTAAACATTACTACCAATTTGTAACCATTACTAACAATTAATAACCATTTTTAACCATTGCTAACGAATACTAACTAGTATCAACTATTAATAAACATTACTAGCTTTTCATTAATCAATGATTAATAACTAATGATTACTAACTATTATCAACTTTTAATAAGCATTATTAATCATAACTTATCAGTCATTACTAGCCACTACTAATAATGACTTATAAGTCATTAGTAACCATTACTAATCCAATAGTCTCAAGTTCGCATCGCTCCGTTGAGTCCACTCAGCTTTAATGGGTACCTGACTCATGTCGGGGAAAGTAAAGAGGGCGAAGTGCACAGTGCTGGTCACTCTACCCCTTCATTAGTCGAGGATAGAGAAATAGGTGAACTCTACTTCTTCTACATCTTTATAAATTTGGTATAAAAGGATTTTTTAATTTTTTTTTTTTTTTTTTTTTTTTTTTTTTGCTTACAGCAATGTACTCCAAACTTCCACCAACATCCATATCAAATCTTGCATTGGGATTTCTCACCATGCCTTGCAATGGCCTGTTGATACAGTAGAAACGCTACTCACTACAAATACATCAGATTTTCTACCATAAAGAAAGAAATGATTAATCAATTCTGGAGCAATCTGAGTATGTTATACATCAAATACACATATAACCTACACATACGTAAGTACCTTGGACGTGTATCGTAATAACTTAACCATCTCAAACTTTTAAAATTAAATTTGTAAAATAGCAACGAGACCTTCAAAGTTTTGGAGCGTTTATCTACAAACTTGACCTATTTTAACGAGTTGCTTAATATTAAAAACAATGCTACTGCCATCTGTGGTTAGTTTAGTAAACTCTTAGTAGAAACGGCCTTGAACTGTGTTAAAGGTCAATCTCCCTCACTCGCCTGATGTTTAGACCAATCATCCTCATCTGAGCAGAAATCATGGTCCAGTTGAAACTTTCAGTATAGAAGGGAGAGAACTTTTAAAAATAATTTTTGTTCGAGAGTTGCGGTCCTTTACCAGAGTTGCGGTCCCTTGCTACTCAAAACAATTGACCGCTTTAGGGCCATCTAGAATTATTGTTGATTAGGAACTGCTGTTGTTTGTTTACTTCTTAATTAACTTAAAGTGCAAGAACCTTGGTAAGTTTGTAGTTTATTGTTAAAAGTATTGCAAATTTTTAAAGCAATACCCATACTTTATTTTTTAATAAAGTAATTTATTTTTATAAACACCATGAAAAAAATGTGAACGAAATTCTTTAAATTACATTAGGTTCGGAATGTAGTGATGAGTTTAAAGCAGTTTTGCTCATTGATTATTTTTTTATAATAAATAAATTACTACTATTGTTAATCTGTATCAGTCCTCACAAGCCGATGATGAAAACTGCAATACTAAAGCGAACACACAACTGACGCTATAAATTACGTGTCTGAAAAAAAAAATTAAAATAAATAAAATACAAACATGGCAAGTGTTCAATATATACCATGGGTCATTTTGTTCAATTAAAGCAGGGGTCGGCAACCTGCGGCTCGCGAGCCGCATGCGGCTCTTTTGGTATCAAGATGCGGCTCTCCAGCTCCTTGCACAAATACTAATAAGCTTAATAAAAAAAAAATATAATGGCTCTTTAAAACCAGGGAAACTTTGAAAATTGTAACTTTTGGCTCTTCCGCTTCAAAATGTTGCCGACCCCTGAATTAAAGAATTGTATTTAGAATTATCAAATCTCATAGAAATAGACTTCGTAATATGTTGATGTGGTTGCTATATGTCATCTTATCAGTAGTACGATTTGGAACCTTGTGTGTGTGTGTGTGTGTGTGTGTGTGTGTGTGTGTGTTTTATTCACATTTTATACATTGTAAGTACTTTTTCCTTTTTTTTTTAATTTCTTGTGCGTGTTGCCAGGCCCCGGGTGGGCCTTGCGCACAACTATGTCCAGTGTGTCTTCCAGACTTATTTCTCCGGGGGGCACTTGAAATTTTCGGGGGGGGGGGGGAGGGGCGGTCAACATTTTTCGGGGGGGGGGGGGGGCGGACACTAGTAAAAGTGTATGTTTACTATATAAAACCCCCCATCTCGTTCGGGGGCGGGGGGGGGGGGGGGGTAGAGATGCCTGTAAGAAACTCAGACTATGTCGGAAAAATACATCAAACGGCTATTCTTGCCTAAGTTTAGCTTGACAGGAGATGCGCCAAAAACTCTAGAGCTCTTCATAGAAGAGGGTTTTTCTTTAGCTACCCTCACAGCTGACGAACTAAAAAGAGAGCTATGTACGTTATGTAGCCTATCACCAGCTGAATGTGAAGGTCTGTATGTCACCATTAGATCAAAGGAACTATATGAGAAAATGCACCTAAAAGAATTTAACGGAGATTTGCCACCTTGGGTAACATCCAGATACAGAATGCAGTGAATATCAATAACCCACGCCGATAAATCTGGGCAAAGGGGCATGCTGAAATGGCTGCCTTCCAAGACAAGCGACGATGATATAATGGCGATTCTGAAATCTATAAGCGGTCAGGACTCAACACCAACATTTAAGAGAATAGACCAATCAAATGTGGTCCCATTCACCATATCACTGGAGAAAGAAGATGTGGAGAGTGTGCCACACTATATTATACTTACAAATGAGGCCAACAAAGAAAGCAGAGTCCTTATAATCCTCAATGGGAGGAGGGTGCAATGTTGCCACTGCAACACAGAGAGGCACCTGCCTAAAATGTGTGAGCATTTGCGGACTCGCGCTCTTGACGGCGTCCAGCTAGTAGATGGACAGTACAGGGCAATTGAGCCTTGGGATGCAAATGATAGAGAAGAAGTTAGGGAGCATCCAAGTAACAATAGAAATTTCTTTAAACATAGGGACAGTTACGATATTGACGGACAAAGACAAAATGAAATGCTTAGAGAAGCAAGGCGTAGAGAGGTAGAAGATGCCTTTGGAGTAGATGGACAAACTGAAACACATCATACTACTGCAGCATCACATCAACTTAACGAGAGCGTAACAGAAATTACAGTAGAGGCCGAAGCCATGGAGACAATAGCGACAAGAAATTCCATAGTAACAGGGTCTCAAAAAGATGGGAATCAAGAAAATTTGGAGGCAGTCGACGAAACAATAAAAGATATTCTTCAAGATAACACTAGTTCAGAAAACATAACATAAGCGCTAAAGGAAATTAAAATCTCACAAAGTATATCAGCAACAAAGCTATCAGTTCAAATAAAAAACAATTACCCACAGCAAAGCCATCTCAAAGGGTCGTGACTAGGGCCCAACGGGATAGCAAACCAGCGGCTGGAAAGTTTGGCGTTAAAAGACCACCACCATCCAGCCCTCCAGAAACAGATGTTCGAAAGAAAACCCCAAATAATTCATGCTAACTCTGGCAACATTGAACATCAGGGGGGCTAGGGACAAAACACGTTATATAAACAACATAATAAATAAACACAATATTGACATCTTACTTTTACAGGAAACTAACATTGGAACTACAGAAGAAGCAAATAAACTAGAAGCATACATCGGTATCAAAAACTCACTGCACAGTACTGGTTTCAACTGCAGAGGAACCAGTATACTTTGTACATCAGACAAACACAAAATTAAAAGTACATACACGGATAAAACAGGGCAGGATAGGATGCATCACATTGAATATTGACAAAACAGAAATAACAATCATCCATATATACGCCCCAACACATAGACAAGAACAAAAACATTTCTACCACACGCTTTATGAACTTATAAATACCAAATACAAAAACAAGACGATACTTTTAGCAGGTGACTTTAATATGGTCATTGACCATACAGACCTAATAGGACAGGAAAACGAAAAGGCTAAAACACGATAAAAAACAAATTAATACATTAAACAATATAATAAAAACGACAAGCTTAAAAGACACCTACAAGAATACACATCTAAGTTTCACTGAAACAACACACTACAGCAGAACACATCATAGCGCAGCTAGGCTAGACAGAATATACGCTCATGAAAGTACAACGGAAAACAAAGTAAAACACCTCGCTCAGACACTTACATTTACAGACCACAAAATAGTTATTGCTCAACTACAAACTGTAATACTAAAGCGAACATGCAAGGCAAACTGACGCTGTAAATTACATGTCTTAGGCGGAAAAAAATCAATTTAAAAAAAAATAACTAATACAAACTTGGCAAGGAAAATAGAGGATTGTCTGAGGACAAAAAAACTTTTTAAAAAAATAATAAATACATAAAAACGTTTATAATTACAAGCTTTTATAAATGCACTAAAGAGAAGAAAATAATACAATTAAAAAGAATTTAATTTTTCTCCAAATATCGTTCCCTATCTAACCCTACATTCTGACGTTGGTTACACAACATGACCACACTTCGTGTAGAGAAGTGTGTTCAGAATTGTGTTTTTAAAATGTATTTAAATGGTCTGTTTCTTTAAAGTAAGCCTTTGATGGGGCGCATATAATACACAAATAGGTAGGGTTGGTATATATTATATTGGGGAACAGGACATTTCCCCCAGTCAATTACCCCCCCCCCCAGGACATATCCCCCCGACATTACCCCCCCCCCCCCTGGAGGGGGGCTTGGGCTAGGGGCTTGGGCTAGGGCTATGGCTAGGGTTAGGGTTAGGGTTAGGGTTAGGCCTAGAGCTGGGGTTAGATCTAGGGCTAGGGTTAGGGTTAGGGTTAGGCTTAAAACAATGTCTAGCTTTGGTTTTGTTTTAAGTTTTAGGCTAAGGTGGATGCTTAGGTTTTGGTCTTTTTATTCAGGTTAGGATTAAAGTAGTATATAGGTATAGAATTCTAGTTAGAGTTAGGATTCAAGCTTGAGAGGGGGGGGGGGGGTAATTCCCCGGGGGGTAATTGACAGGGGGTAATTGCTCCGTGAGGGTAAATACGGTGGGGAAACGTCCGGGGGTAATTTCCGGGGGGGGGGGGGGGTAATGTCCTGTAGCCATTATATTGATGGGTGGTGGGTTAGTGCAATGTTTTTATGGCGGAAGTATTGTAATCGTGCAAAATAATCAAAATCGGGATTTTCACACATCTCGACGTTTTACACCTGAGTCAGAAAAGCATAGTTTTTCAATTTTTCCGTATGTCTCAGAAATGTTCTGTGTGTATGTGTGTGTATATGTGTGTATGTGTGTGTATATATTTCTGTGAACACGATAACTTGAAGTACCGTTTCAGCTAGGTTGATGAAATTTTGTATATATGTATCAAATCAAATTTGTAGTTTTGTATCAACTTTTCAGCGATTTCCGGTAACCGAAAGTGGAACTTTTTCTACTTTCAATTTTTCAAAAGCCTATACTTGAGTACCATTTCTGAAAGAAAAATGAAATTTCACAAGTAAGTAAAAGATCTAATTCTCTGCCTTCTTTCAAATGTTGAGTAATTTCCGTTGACCGGAAGTAGTAAAGTAAGTAAGTAAAGTTTCCCTGTCAAACCTGACGGTCTAATTGGCAGGTGAAGTAGAGTTCACTTGTTTCTGTGACCTCGGCATATGAAGGGATAGTGTGGTCAACACTATGCCCAGCCGCATTTACTTACCCTAACGGAAGTAGTAGCAGTGGCGTAGCGAGGTCGGGTGTCACACGGTGCGGCACTTAATGGTGTCACCCCCCCAGAGGCTTAGCGACCCTTCCCGGTGACAAACTTTCAAATTTTCGATTTGCAACCCCCCCCCCCCTCAAACTTTCGATTTGTACCTCCCCCACCCCCTCAAACTTTCGATTTGCACCCCCCCCTTAAACTTTCGATTTGCACCCCACCCCCTCAATTTTTTCTCCATAAATTTTGCTATTTTTGCCTTGGTGTCACCCCCCTAAATGGTGTCACCCGGTGCGGTCCGCATCCCCCGCCCCCCCCCCCCCCCTCGCTACGCCCCTGAGTAGTAGTTAACCCTAATTCCGATTTCTCAAAAAAAACGAATAGGAATTTATTAATTACTATTATACAGATACTGCGCAATTCTTTTTTTCTACGAGATTCTATTCTATTTTTAAAAGTTTAAGTAATTAAAAATCATATCTATATCCCGAGTTGCAGTGGCGTAGGCAGGGAGGGGGGGTAGGAGGGGGTTAGAACCTGGACCCCTCTGTAATTTTTTTTTACTATCATAATACCACTGTTACTTCTTTAAATCTATTTCTGAATCAGTATATATGTATAATTGTATATGTATGTTTAGAACCGTCATCTAAAAACTGACGCTATGTTCACTCTGAGTTGGTTTCCCCCCCCCCCCCCCCCACTCCACTACTTCACCACCTAAAACGGGACACAACATTAATGTCACACCTAGGTAGGATAATTGACCTAAAGTGACCGGACAGCGGTGGATGAAGTTGACCCCCCCCCCCCCTCCCAACCCACCCCAAACTGATCTGTTAAGTACATTTGGGAAAACACGTAATGAGGTACCAAAGTACCATGCCGCCAGAATCATAGCTTTTGAAACAGGTAAAACTCTGTAAATATTGTTTTTGCAGTTACCAGTAAAGAGGTGTGTGATCAATACAGTGATCTAACCCATACCTTATCATTATGTTAAAAAATGTATCTTTAAAGAACACAAAAAACAGTACCTATTTGAAAAACATGTATCTGTATTGTAAGACCAATGTCATAGTTACATGTCGGTTATTATTTAAAATGTTCCACCTATAAGATTTAGCTTCAATATAAAAGTAGAAAAGCGTGGTTTTATACCAAATCTAATTTAAAACACTTACATTATGCTGTAAGATTTTAGCATTTATGATAACAATATATTTAATTCTGATTTCAGACAACATATTTTTGTAACAACAAATAAAGTTAAGTTTTTATACTACATACTAAAGTAATTATTGATCTTTTTTTACATTTACAATTAAATATAGAAATATGCATATTTATATTAAGAGAGTGATTATTACCCCTAATTCGTTTGTCTTAATATTCTAGGAATCATTATATCAAATTATTTTTTTACAAGGATTACAAAACAGATTGTGTGCGTTCATTGTTTTTGGTTGTATTGTGTGTATATTTTGTTTGGGTTTTTTTTTGTTTAGAGTGATACATTGTTTTGTTTTGTCGGCCTACATTGTGTGTTTTTTCTTATATCTTCAGAGTACTACTTTCAATTTATTTTACATCATATCGATATATATATATATATATATATATATATATATATATATATATATATATATATATATATATATATATATATATATATATATATATGTTATGATGGAATAAATTTGAACCCCCCACCCCCACCATGAGACGATCCCGGCTACGCCACTGATTCTTTCTTTTTATTTTACAACGGTATTAGAATTTTTTAAGATTCCTAACAATGAAACATGTAACAGTAACATGCTAGATAAATACGTTTTTAAGGTTGGTGTGTCTTTCCTACCGAACTACAGATACAACAAGAATACTGATTCGAAAGTTTGTTCGTAAGGTTAGCTAAATATTTTCCTTTCTTATATATTTAATTAGACTTTAAAAACTCTTAGTTGTTACCAATTCATTTTTCTTTTTATTGATTGTAAACATTGAAAAGGAAATCGTCATGTTATGTGCCATATTATGTAATGTGACACATGTAAGCAGCAATCGCGCAGGTCATGTTTGGCTAGGTGACACATGTAAGCAAACACCCCACACCCCACAGGTGACCCATGTAAGCAAACACCCCACAGGTGACACATGTAAGCAAACACCCCACATGTGACCCATGTAAGCAAACACCTCACATTTGACCCATGTAAGCAAACACCCCACATTTGACCCATGTAAGCAAACACCCCACAAGTGACACGTGTTATCAAACACCCCACATTTGACCCATGTAAGCAAACACCCCACAAGTGACACGTGTTATCAAACACCCCACATTTGACCCATGTAAGCAAACACCCCACAGGTGACACATGTGAGCAAACACCCCACAGGTGACACATGTAAGCAAACACCCCACATGTGACCCATGTAAGCAAACACCCCACATGTGACCCATGTAAGCAAACACCCCACAGGTGACACATGTAAGCAAACACCCCACAGATGACCCATGTAAGCAAACACCCCACAGGTGACCCATGTAAGCAAACACCCCCACAGATGAAACATGTAAGCAAACACCCCACAGATGATCCATGTAAGCAAACACCCCACAGGTGACACATGTAAGCAAACACCCCACAGATGACCCATGTAAGCAAACACCCCACAGGTCATGTCGGCAACTGAGGTCGCACACCCTGGCAAGGTACAGCTGAGTGACCCCTCAGACTTCCGGCCTGATTACAAAGATGCCACCGCCTACAGAGACTTCCGCTACGAGAACGTGGCTCCAGGGATCCACAAGACGTATGACGACATGCACACATACCAGACGGTGGCCTATGTCCAGGTAAGTGACGTCACATCCACACGAACATACGTCAGACAGTGGCATGTGTCCAGGTAAGTGACGTCACACCCACACGGACATACGCCATACAGTGGCATATGTCCAGGTAAGTGACGTCACATCCACACGAACATACGTCAGACAGTGGCATGTGTCCAGGTAAGTGACGTCACAGTCACACGGACATACCAGACGGTGGCCTATGTCCAGGTAAGTGACGTCACAGTCACACTGACATACGTCAGACAGTGGCATGTGTCCAGGTAAGTGACGTCACAGTCACACGGAAATACCAGACGATGGCCTATGTCCAGGTAAGTGACGTCACAGTCACACGGACATATCAGACGGTGGCCTATGTCCAGGTAAGTGACGTCACAGCCACACGGACATACGTCAGACAGTGGCCTATGTCCAGGTAAGTGACGTCACAAACACACCAGATGGTGTCGTACGTGCAGGTGACGTCATACACAAACCCTCCCCAGACGGTTGCATAAGTCCAGGTGAGGCATTAAAAAGTGACGTAACGCACAAACTAGAGCGAGATTAAATTGTGTACAGGGAAAGATTTCAAATTTAGATGACCTCACATACATAATAGCTTGTACTTTATTTCTTAGTGAGACAGACATTGGTTGATCTTGTTTTTAGACGGACATTTAGTTGATCTTGATTCAAGACGGACATTTGCTGACCTTGATCTGAGAAGGACATTTGGCTGAAGTGTATTCAAGACGCACATTACCTGACCTTGATTCAAGACATTTGCTAACCTTGATTTAAGACGGACATTAATTGACTTTGATTTGAATGGTGACGTCATCAGGACAGGATGGCCCATTGGCTCAAGTTCGACCACGCGGAGATGAGCATCATGGAGGTTCTCGACAAGCTCAACGACCTTGTGGACGCGAGTGACCCTGACATTGACCTCCCCAACTCGTACCACGCCTACCAGACGGCCGAGGGCATCAGGAAACATCATCCGGACAAGCCCTGGTTCCAGGTGGGTGGTTGTCGCGTGTTGTTTGATGGAGTGTCTTTAAGCTCTGTGTCTGTAAGGGTGTGGTGGTCTCATACCTTCCACCTCGCCCCTCCTCTCATTCCGAAAGCGAATACTGGCCAATCATGCTATACTAAAATAATCAAACATGTTCCTTCTTTGTTTCATTATGTCTTTTAAGACATTGCATGGCTCCTTTTTCGCCTCATTTGAAATGGATGCAGTGGCGTAGGCAGGGGGGTTAGGGGGGTCATAACCCCCCCATAGACCCCTCGGTATATATATAAAGTATGAGGGGGGTGCAAATCGAAAGTTTGAGGGGGTGCACATCGAAAGTTTGTCCCCGGGTAAAAAGTTGACGCCCCCCCCCCCCCCCCATGAGACGATCCTGGCTACGCTACTGAATGGATGTGTACAGAGAATAGAAATCGTCATGCTGCGTACCAGGGTATTAAAGGGATTATACCCACACATGTGTAGCTGCCTCTACACACCGCCATCCTTTACAGAAACACACACACAAATATTCCATTATTAAATTGATTGAGTATTAACATTTTTACTTTCTCGTATATACGAAGTATAGAGAAAGTATTGTAATCGTGCACAAAAATCACTTGAAATTTTAACTATTTTCACCGTATTATACCTCAGTCCTTCATCACATCCGAAGTATAGAGGACTTATTTTAATCGGGCAAAAATTATCAATCCAGATTTATCAAAATTAAGAGGTTTTATGCGTAATGCAGTCTGAAAATCTGGGCTTTGCAATTCTGTCCGTATGTCTGTGTGTGTGTCTGTGTGTGTGTCCGTGTGTAAACACGATAACTTGAGTACCGTTACAGCTAGGTTGATGAAATTTCATATATAAGTATTTTATCAAAATCGTAGATCCGTATCAACTTTTGAGCGATTTCCGATAACCGAAAGTGGTACTTTTTGTACTTTGAATTTTTTAAAAGCCTATAACTTGTGTACTATTTCAGATACGTAAATGAAATTTCACATGTAAGTAAAAGATCTAATTCTCTACCTTCTGTTAAATTTTGAGTAATTTCCATTGACCGGAAGTAGTAATTTACGCTACTTCTAATTTCTCAAAAAACTAATGTAAATTTTTAAAGTACTAATAATATTGCGCACTATTATGCACTTTTTTTAATTTGGTGTGCAATTCTTTTGTCTACGAGATTTTATTCTATTTTTAAAACTTTAAGTATTTAAAATGGATTAAAAATCATGTCTATAGCCCGAGTTCCCATCCCCTGTTGTTTTATATAAGAATGTTCGAGAAAGTTTAGGGGAGATCACTCCCGGTTTATTTAATTAAGTGGGGCGGAGGGACGTTAACTCATAATCATAAAATTAACACGTGGCTTTTAAAAGATGTGTTTATTTTTGCACAAGTAGGCCTGTCTTTTACCAATCACCACTAATTATTGAAAATAAATTATTATAAATTATTATTCATTTACGCCGCTGTACATCAGCTGTGTTTTAAGGCATCCTTTTTTACTTTCTCGTATATACGAAGTATAGAGAAAGTTTTGTAATCGTGCAAAAAAAAAAATCGAGATTTTTACAAATCTCGACGTTTTACACCTCACTGATACGGAAAAACATAATTTTGCAATCTTGTCCGTATGTCTGTGTGTCTGTCTGTCTGTCTGTCTGTCTGTGTGTGTGTGTGTGTGTCCGTGTGTAAACACGATAACTTGAGTACCGTTACAGCTAGATTGATGAAATTTCATATATAAGTATTTTATCAAAATCGTAGATCCGTATCAACTTTTGAGCGATTTCCGATAACCGAAAGTGGTACTTTTCCTACTTTGAATTTTTCAAAAGCCTATAACTAGAGTACTATTTCAGATAGATAAATGAAATTTCACATGTAAGTAAAAGATCTAATTCTCTACCTTTTATTAAATTTTGAGTAATTTCCGTTGACCGGAAGTAGTAATTTACGCTACTTCCGATTTCTCAAAAAACTAATGTACATTTTTTAAAGTGCTAATAATATTGCGCACTATTATACACTTTTTTATTTGGCGTTCACTTAGTGTGCAATTAATTTGTCTACCAAATTTTATTCTATTTTTAAAACTTTAAGTATTTAAAATGGATTAAAAATCATGTCTATAGACCGAGTTCCTATCCCCTGTTATTTTATATAAGAAATTCGAGAAAGTTTAGGGGAGATCACTCCCGGTTTATTTTAAAGGTATTCATACACAGGTATGCATTTATGCCCGTATACAAGCATCGAAAGTTACACATACAGATATGCCTACCATGATACATCCAGCCATATAACCTCTGTATATTGAAACGGTGAAAATTATGTCATTTTTGTTTGCAAGGCTGCTTTATCTCGCTTTGACAGTGGTTCAAGTGAATTGCGAGTATATTAAGAGGGTAGTTATCTAAAGCTTATTTTCTTATAATTTCAAACAACAGTTGACGAATAGTTGGATTGTTAGACTGCTGGGCGAAGTTTTAATTTTGATATCCTTTAGACGGGTATTTTAAACTGCCAGCTGATTTATCGAAAACGTTACAATTATATATCGAATTGCGTTGAATGTTTACGTGTTCTTTTGTATGTGTGGTTGGGTGCAACTGTATGTATGGTTGGGGTGCACATAATTTGCCACTTGTGCGTGTGGTTGAGGTGAGAATCCGCCAAATCAGTAGAACGCCCTTAAGTCCATCCAGCTCATGTTAGGGAAAGTAAAGGCAGCTGGGCAAAGTGATGACCACACTATCCCTCCATATGCCGAAGTCAAGAAACAGATAAACTCTACTTCACCTGCCCAAGGGATCGCTATGTCTAAAGAGGACTTTTTACTTTTCTTTTTTTTTTACCCGTTGAATGTACTTGTATATTGCACACATGTTCATACGGGCTGACGGACTCTACTCCACCTACAATATAAACCTCCCGATAGAGGATCTTTAGTTTACCCCGCCTGTAAGTAGAGTTTACATTGCTATATCTCCCCGTGTCTACAGTAAACAGCGCTAGGCTGCAACCCGTAAGTCTCGAGTTCAAATCCGGGTCCAAGTCAATAGGAGGTCCCTGAGTCCACCCAGCTCTGATGGGTTCCTAACTCATGTAGGGAAAGTAAAGGCAAAGTGCTGAACACACCTTCCGTTCATATCCCGAGGTCAAGAAACATAAAAAATCTTCCCAATTCATCGGTAGGAGATCAAGAAACATATAAACTCTACTTCACCTGCCCAATGGATCACTAGGTCTAAAGAAGAATCTTTACTTTGTCTCCAGCTGACAGGCCTGATCCATGACATCGGTAAAATTATGGCCCTGTGGGGGGAGCCGCAGTGGTCGACAGTGGGGGACACCTTCGTCGTGGGCTGCCAGTTCGAGGACAGCATCGTCTTCTCGGACTCAACATTCGGGTGAGTTGTTCGTTGGTTCAACATTCGGGTGAGTTGTTCGTTCGTTCAACGTTCGGGTGAGTTGTTCGTTTGTTCAACATTCGGTTAATTTGTTCGTTGGTTCAACATTCGGGTGAGTTGTTCGTTGGTTCAACATTCGGGTGAGTTGTTCGTTTGTTCAACATTCGGGTGAGTTGTTCGTTGGTTCAACATTCGGGTGAGTTGTTCGTTTGCTGGTTGTTTTGTTGGTTTTAAATGTTGAATTCATCGGCGTAAGAGAATTTTTCTTTAAAACAATAATCCCACCCAGAGGCGTAGCGACCCTTCCCGGCGCCCGGGGACAAACTTTAAATTTATAAATTTCAATTTATTTTTATAATGCAAAACTGCAGCTAAAACTAAAATGAGCTTTTAAATTTTTTTCCAACCCATTTTGGCGCCCCTTAGGGTCGGCGCCCGGAGACATTTGTAACCCCCCCCCCCCGCCCCTCCCCCTCGCTACGCATCTGATCCCACCCCACCACCATGACAAATTTCCACATAAGCCACTGGTTGGAACTGATTTACTTATTTTTTAAAGCTTTCTTTACAAATAGCTTAAGCCCCTTAGAATAGTGAATTTGTCAGTTACTCCGGGCAGATGAGGCTCGTTAGCTGGTGACCGCCACTCTTCTAGGAGAGACAACTCCAAAATCAAACAACTGCTGCCTGGTAGTTTGTTCTTGGTTGGACAAAGGAAAAGCTATGGAAGCAAAAAGCAAATGCAAAAACAGAAGCAGGCTGAAATCGGCCCATAACAAGTTAACATATAATACTTGTGTTGGTGGGAAAGATAGTTAGGGATGGATTTGGTTAGAAGACTATTAGTGAATAGATAGTAGATGTGTTTTTGGCACGAACAATTTTAAAAATCACGAAGTCGTCAAAACCAAATGTAGTTTGTGTTGTTTATGTTTCTTGAAGTCGACTTTTACAATGCTATAAGTATAACTAATCACAATGAAATCACAGTATGAGATCTTCAAAGTAATCGAGGGTCGTTCATAAATGACGCTTGGATGCCGTGGTGGTTAAGAAGGATTAAAAATGTTTAAATTTTTTTTAACAAGTCAATTCAAGTTAAATCGTTATTAGGTTTTAGGGAGTATCCTTTAAGAATTTTACAAAATTAAGGAATTTTGTGACCAGTGTTTCTTCCAGACTTTTTTCTCCGGGGGGGGGGGAGCTTGAAATTTTCGGGCTAAGCCCCCCCCCCCCCCCCGAAGAGATGCCTGGCTGAAAGAAACTCTGTTTGTGACGACATGTAGCGATTAAAGGGGCATATAACATTGCATTGAAGCTTTTTTTTTAATAATTAAAAAGCATGCATTTTTAAAATAATTAAAAAGCATTCATTATTTCTTTAACCTATATTTTACCTAGTGTTGTCTAAAAAGCGGTAACCCCTGACCTTCACGTTCTAAAAATGTCCTACCGTCCTCAGCAAGAACCCAGACGGGTCGGACCCTCGGTACAACACCAAGTACGGCATGTACCAGCCTAACTGTGGCCTGGAGAACGTGCTCATGTCCTGGGGACACGATGAGTACCTGTACAGGGTGCTGAGGGTGAGTGCGGTCTGACAAGGATAGGACATTAACCCCTGGCAACTACTCCCCCCCCCTCGGACAAATGCGGAACATCCTCCAGTTAACTACACCCCCCTTCGTCTAACTGATAGCAAGATATAAACCACTGTCAATTACCTCACCCCCCCCCCTCGAACAAATGCAGGACCCCCCCCCCCACAAATGATAGCAGGATATTATCCCCGATCAACTACCCCCTCCTCAAACATTAAGGTCGTCCCCCCCCCCCCCCCCCCAAATTAACTACACCTCCCCCACTTCGTTCAAATAATAGCATGAAATTATCCCCTGTCAGCTACTCAATTACCCCTCCCCCATCCATGAAACAAATGCAGGACATTATATTATTCTCCCCCTCTCCCAGTTAACTGCCCCCCCCCCGCCCAAGTGATAGCAGGACATTAAAAGAAGGCAAACAGTCGGGAGTAAGTGTACACTGAAAACATCGTATGTATGTGTACTGCTAGACACAAATTGTATGCACTACCAAATGTAAAAACAATACATAACAGACGTGATAAAACAGAATTCCCTTCCCCCCTCATCTGTTTTATCCATACCATCTTCGAGCAGTCCCTCCGCAACCCCCAACCCTCCCCACCACCCCTAACATTTTTTTCATCACTTTTATAAGAACGCCTAAAAATACAACTACGTCACAAAACGTTTTTTTTTAAGATGTGAACTATTCCCAAATACTCGTCATCATGACGTTTCTATAGATAAGACTAAAGATAGGCTATCGGTTTTTAAAGAAAATGTAAGTCGATAAATATAATGTGTTCTATTTAGCTAAAGTCTTCGTCACGCTCATATATTTAAGAAAAAACTCTCTTGTATGTTGCGCAATATATGAATAAAATTGGCATAAAACAAATAATGAATTAAAAAGATTTTTTTTAAGCGCAAGATTGGTTACAAACTAATATACAAATACATGATGCCTTTTACGTAAAAATTAGATGAAAATAATAACTAAGTTATCTCGGTATTTCGCTATCTGAACTGGATAATAAAAAAAATTTAATAGTCAATTTTACGATTTTTCGTCACCCCTAAATAGATCACCCGGAGCGGACAGCCCCCCCCCCCCTTGTGACGCCACTAGCTATAACAATATGAGAAGCTGTGATTTTAGTTGTTCTAGAGCCAATGTACACAAGCTTCCATTAGTCCTGACGGCTAACGCCCTACCGACTTGACTAAACAGCATTCTTCCAGACATCTCTTCGGGGAGCACAGTCCCCTAACACATCTACCGCCCCCCCCCCCCCCCAACGAAATATAATTTATATATAATATATATATTAACCAGTGTCCGCGCAGTACCCCCTACCACACATTTAAATCCGCCCCCCCCCCCCCAGAAAATTTCAACCCCTCCCCCAACCCACGAAAAAAATGTCTGAAAGAAACCCTACAAAACAGCGAGAAAGTTAACCACCAAGAGAAGATTCCCTCCAACTGTATTACCACTAGCCACGTACATTAAGACGTCGTGAATGGTTGAAGAAAACAAAGGCTGACCCGTTTATCTTATCTCAAATGTTTGACCACGAGTGAGGTGTAATGGTAAACATCTGGAACCCCCCCCCCCCCTCGCTTGCTCGCTAATCTACACTCATCCTCTTATCCCCCCCCCCCCCTTAACATAAGATGTACGATTGTGTATATTCTTGATATAATGCCATCACCAAATTAGAGGGCAGCTTTAACCCTTTCTTAGGAGCCTGTTAAAATGAAATCAATCAAGACTAACCTCTTCGCGTCAATTGATTTTGGGTTCAATTTTTTATCGACAGGGGATAATGTCCTTCTGCACTATTTTGGCGGGGTAATTGACAGGGGATAATGTCCTGCTATCATCTAGGGGGGGTGGGGAGTTGACAGGGGGGGGGGGGGAATGTCATGCATTTGTTTTATGGATAGGGGAGGGTTGTTGAAAGGGTTTAAGTATGTGGTCTGATTATCCTAAATGGTACCATAGCTTTATTGGCCAGGTATCTCAACCATTGTGCAGGCCAAAATCGTTAGATACGCAGCCTAACGTGATCAAGATTTGAAACTGTGTTTATTTATATTATTAGTTACTATTGAGCAGAGGCGTAGCGACCCTTCCCGGCGCCCGGGGTCAACTTTCGATTTGCACCCCGCCCCCTCGAACTTTTCATTTGCACCCCACCCCCCCTCAAACTTTCAATTTGGCGCCCCCCCCCCTGAGGTCGGCGCCCGGGAACATATGTCCCCCCGCCCCCCCCCTCGCTACGCCTCGGCTATTGAGTATTATTAACAGGGACGGCGTTTGCTAGCCGATAGGTCTCAAGTTCGGATCCCGGTTTGGATTCGTGACTGCAGAATAGCCGTGATCTCTGATGGGTACCTGACTCACGTTAGGGAAATAAAATGTGCATTATCCCTTCACAAAGTCATTGAAACAGATGAACTCTACTCCATCTGCGCCATGTGTCTTGGGCATGATAATTATTAACATACCAATTTTTAAATTCTTATGGGGAAAAAAATTTCTTCTTTAACTTTCCCAATCTTAGAGCAGATGTATTTTCCCATCTACACTTCTGACAAGTTTTAGAATAAAAACATTTTGTGTCTAATCTTACACACACAAATTTCATGTGTTTGTTACTTGTGTAGTTTATACTTTATACTGCCAGTATATCAAAACATCTATCTAAAAATTCTTGTTCTCTGGCTAAACTTTTACCTTATGTGATTTGCATAGGCAGGTGATGTTAAAATTCTCCCCCCCCCCCCCCCCCCCCCAACTTCAAATTTCATTAAGTTAAAACTATTGACATATTGCCTTCTTCTGGCTCAACATTCTGGACATCATAAAACTAAATTGGTACATTCATAAAATTGTTATTGAATTGAATATACATATGAATATTTGCATGGGGGGGGGGGGGAGGAGGAAAGGAAGCTCATTCCCCTCCCCCCATAACAAATCCTGGCTACACAGTGGCATAGGCAAGGGGACGGGGGGGTTATAACCTCTTCCATGGGCTCACACCCCTATATATATATATATATATATATATATATGATTTTATACATACGGAAAAATATTTGAATCCCTCCCATGCACTCACTCCTATATATATATATATATATATATATATATATATGTATAAATTTATATATATATATGTACATATATATATATGTATATATATATATATATAAATATATATGTGTGTATATATATATATATATACATACATATATATATACATATATGATTTTATACATATGGAAAAATATTTGAACCCCTCCCATGACCAATTCCTGGCTACGCCACTGTGGCTACCTACTGCTTTAAGGCTGCTTCACATCTTCACTTCAGGCCAACAAACACAGTTTACCAGAAGAAGCGCTGTACATGATCAGATTCCACTCCTTCTACCCCTACCACTCGTGCGGCGCCTACCAACACTTAACCAACGAGAAGGACCACAAAATGTTCCCCTGGATCAAGGAGTTCAACAAGTTTGACCTCTACACTAAAACCGACAAAGTGCCTGATGTGGATGCCTTGAAGCCTTACTACCAGTCACTCATTGATGAGTACCTACCAGCTAAAATTAAATGGTAAAATAAACAATTGTGATTAGGGCATCTTAGATTAAAATAAATGAAATAAAAGCACACTACACCATATACTTTTCTTTTTGGTTTAAACATTTAGATATACATGTATTTTTATATTGTGTAAATATATATATATATTTATATTGTGTAAATATATATATATATTTATATTGTGTAAATATATATCTATATATTTATTTGTATATTGTGTAATATATATATATATATATATTTGTATATTGTGTAATATATATATATATTTATATATATATATATATATATATATATATATATATATATATATATATATATGCACAGCCTTATTTCCTAAGGGACTGAAAATAGTAAGGGTTAATTTAAATACTACATACATAAAGCAACCAAAAATGTTTTGCTTGGAGGTTTGGGTACAAGTTCTTATTATCCTTTTAGTAAAAATGAATTAGGTTTCTAATAGTACAAATTACTGTGTGAATTAAAGAGTAATTCAGAAATCTTGAGTCAACCTGATAGTGACCCATCCCCCTCCCCTCTAAATCATGATACTGTATAAAGTAAGGTGATATTTAAGAATTAAAACATAGACAACACATTTCTTAAAATTGATTTATTCCATTACAAAACAGCAAAGTGAATAATGGAGTACACTTTCAAAGGGTGCTAATCTTTTCTTGGTTGAGTGGTTGTAATAAAGGAGTTACCCCCCATTTTGTAGCTAATTCTTAATTTGGAATTGTGTCCAAGCAAAGAAAAAGTTTTCATTCAATGTCATTAGAAGTATGATTGTAAGCTACAAAAATCAACATAAGTGCATTCTCAAAACTAGTTTGAATGGACTTGGTACCTTTGCTAATGTTTTCAACTGGACTAATAGGTGTTTTACTTTCAATGACTAGTCAAACAGAATAACACTTCCATTTGATGTGTGCTATGGTTAGTCTCAAATTTAAGAAAGCTAATCAATAAAAGCATTTTAAATATTTAACTTAAATAATTGACATTCTCAGTGTCATTTGTTTTCTTATAATAATCACTGCCTAAAAAAAATAATTAAAAACTGTTTTGCAAGCTGAAACATTGTTCAGTACTGTTTAAAGAATCAATATACCACAGATAAGGATTTAAAAAAATATCACTTGAAAAGCAGTGGAAGAATTATAGATAAGATCACAACAAAAATTATAGGTTTCTTTTTAAAACAATGTACAGAGTTCAGTCTGGTGATAGAATAAAATATAACTGGACTAAACTAACAGGATTCCTTAAAAACTATGTTCCAGATTATAATTATTCCTGCACTAAAACTAAAAAGCAATCATTTAAAAATGTTACATTTTTAACTATTTTTACGCTAAAACTAATCAAACTCCTTAAAAATATACTTTAGATTTCAACTTTTTATAGTACGGAACAACACGATAGTTTTAAAACTCTAATAAATTTTGAAAAGCAATACAATAAAAAAAAACTCTCTTCTGAATAGTATAAACATAAACCCAAACCATGATGAATAAAGTAAATAAACTGATGGAAAGAAAACTATATAAGCAAATAAATCTAGCTAAGTTAGAATAAAATTAAACATGAAAAGAGAAAATATAAAATGCAAAAGAACCAAGCTGCTTTTGAAGTTAATTTAGTTAAAACAAAAAAAAAATATATACAAATACAACTCAACAGAAAGTCAGATGCAGTGGACAGCTTTATTGCTTCCGGTAATAAAACAGGATTGAATTTTTTTTTTTTCATAAATTTAGAGAAGTATTTGTTAGACAATGTGTGTAGTAGCAAGTCCATCAGATGCCCGTGTGTGATGGTGCGCCACTTCTAATAGCTCAGCTGTCTTGAGCTGCTGTGATGTGTACAGGAAAATGTGAAGAAAGAAAACCAGAATATGCATGCACATGATCCCTTCAAATTCACAACTTTTTTTAAAAATTATTTAATTATTTGCATTTTATACACACGCACAAATGATTTCTGATATGAACATCTCAACAAATATAAGTTACTACTTCTAATTCTAACCCTTGTATCCTGCAAACTGATGTTTATAGACTGTTTTATATTGTTATATAGTTTAAATAAGCACTGGATATTCCTAAGATTACATGTAAAAACTTTTTTTTTCTTAAAGAAATTTTGAATATTTCAATAAAAAATTAAAACAATGGTTTAAAAAGCCAAACTGGCACTCTCTCTGTAAAAACTAGGTATCCTCACAACATGTTGCAGGAAATTAAAACATGAATACATACGATGCCAGCAATAGGAAATAAAAGAAGCAAAAAACATATAAATTACTCAAAACAGCATTTTTTTAAAAATATTCCAAAATAAAGTCTTAATCTGGTAGTCTGCTAAGATGAAAAAAAATATATATACCAATACTGAACACTTTGCCATTTTTTCTTAAACTTTTTAAAAATCACTTGTAACAATTTTTTAAAAGCTATTAATTTAAAAGCCAAACTTGAGTTGAATTTCTTGATTATGAAAATATAGCTTTAAACATGTAATGTATTTGTGCAAGCAATGATTTAATATTGTAATTAACAAAGATATATTTAAAAAGAATATAAATCAAGACTGGCTAATTATAATATAACAGACTTAATATTTCATGTTGAACCTTTTCTGTACTAATAGGAAATATATACTATTAGTTTTGAATAATTTACTGCAAAAAGAAATGTGTACACATACTTCAGGATAGTGATTATGTTCTACACTATGGGATGGGATGTTAAAATCTGGAGTATTGATTTCCTATGTAGCAGATGTTACTGTGCCATCCCCTAAGTGAAATTTTATCCATGTATGTGTGTATCTTGTGATATGGGGGGGCTGAGCTGGTGGAAAAATGTGTAATAAAGGCCAAGCCTTCACTGAGCATAACAACTGGAAACTGTTGAATAAATGAGGGATATTTTGTTTGAGGAACAAACATAATAGGAAGATACACCACACAGATAAACAAAGCAGGGATATCAGTTACAAAACCCAGGAAAATTAGATCCGTTTTAGTGGTCTATCAACCAAATACAATTTTAACCATACTTTTAAGTATTGGCTTTGAAATAAAACTGTTCATAATTTTAATAATTTGAATTATATTTTAATGGAGTTCCAACTAAATATAATTTGGATCATATATTAATGATACAAAAAAATAAAACTGGGATCATGGACTACCAACACACAAGATACAGCCTGTATGGTGTGACCTTCCATGGAGAAAATAAAACAAAGGTTGTTAAAACAGCCACAAGACAATCAATAGCTGGGTTCATGACATGTGAGGCATCTTGATTTAATCTCTTCTCCTCTTCTTGTCATCCTCCTGGTCAGACAAAAAAAAAAATGTGTTACAAAAAGTTACCTCAATTTTTAATTTAATATGTAACGCAACATAAATTGTATATAATCATAATTTAATATGCAATTCTCCATGTGTTTTATAATATTTTTTCAAATTCTATATGCTTTTTTATATCTTTTATTAAACCACATCAATTTAATAGAGAAGTTCTAAAATTAATGTCTACATATGGATGTTTTACATTTAAGAGATCTTTTCCATCCCAGCCCTTTTCTTAGCATACAATGCTGTAACGTTTAGCTAGCTTTTAATTTGGGTACACAATGCACTATAATTGCATAGCTATTAACCCTTCACAGCCCTATTATAAAACTTGGAGCCATATAAATTGGACTACTGAAACTTATATACCAGTAACAAATAAAGTAAAAGAAGAGAGCTGCAACCACCAGGCCAAAAACCAGTAGAATAAAACAGTTCACAAGTGGTCATATCATAGCAAATATATTTACAAATAAATTATTCAAGCCATATTCCAATCAAGTGTCATAAATAGAGGTTGTGAGAGACAGTAGGTGCCAAAAGGCAAAATTACACCAAAAGCTACTAAAATAAACATCAAAGTACTTTTTAAAACAAGTAGTTCATTGCTCAGATGTAATATTTGCTGTCTTTTTTTTTTATTTAACTTAATTTTTTTTATTAATAGAAGACCAATGCAGTGTGTCCTGAAAACTAAATCAGAATTTAAAAATTTCAATCCAATTTTAAAATAGTGCAAGTTATGTAAATAAATTTATATAATATTGCATTCTAGTTTTTGGACATTTTACAACTGTACTCAAAAAGCTTAATTAAAAAAACCCACTAATTTCATTTAACTACACATGAAATGAACCAGCTTTACTTAGCAGAAGATCATTGTAAAACAAAGCAAATTTTACAAGCAATTTACAGTTTTTAAAAATTAAAAACAATAAAATACTTTAATGTTTGGGATGTTTTGATATAAGGTAAAAAAAAGTATCCAAAGTAATGTATTTTATATTTAAGACAAGTCATTCTTTAATTTAATAGCCTCCTTTACTCCATGTTTTACCATTTAACAACTTATCTATGTTGGATGCTGGGGAGTCATGGTATGTAATTTTTAATGAGTCCATTTTGTTTTAAGCATGAGATAATTTACTTTTCTGTATTAGGCACTACAACCAGGATACCAGGTATGCTCAACAGAAATGTCAATAGCATGGATGGATGGTTTAAATAAATGGTTTTAAAACCTCTTCTCTATTTGCATGCAGCCAGTCATTTATTTAGAATTTTTCTTTTTTCCAGACTGAAAATTATAAGTTAGTTTATTTTATTTTAAAAGCAAAGGTAATTCAGAGACCATGTCACATTATTACTGACTACAGATCAGGCAAATAAATTAACACTAGCATGTAGCTAGTAACATGTGACACAATAGCTAAATTATAGAGAAATGCAAGTAACAAAATCTAAGCAAAACAAGACAAAAATGATTCAGTAAATGTGAGTAATATCTAAATGTGAGGCTTAAATTACAACAACAAACTAGTGATTTGTGTTAATTACTTAAATACAGTTACTAGCTTTTTACCTTTTTGGCCAGAATAACAAGCAGAGCTCTGAAAATCTGAACAGCATCAAGGAAAAGGTCAACTGAGTGCCTGAATTTTGAGGGGGAAAAAAATGGTATTCATAAATCAAAACTGCATGGTAAATACATTTTGACTATAAAATAAAAGGCTTTACTATTAAAGGCGTACACAAGTAAAACAAAATGTTTCATAACTATAGGTTGCTAACATTTTAGGAGATAAGATGTACTACCTATATGAGATAACACAAAGTCTTACCAGATAAAATCTTCATCTCCCCTCTTTCTCTTCTCTACAATCAACTGAGTATCATACAATACAAAAGCAGAGAAGAGGAGCAATATGCCATAGATGTACACCTAGTAAAAAGATAAGTCAAGTGATATTTTTTGTTTGCATGCAGCCATTAAACTAAAATTTTCTAAAACTATCAAAATCAAATATCTTTGATTGTGCGAAATATGAGTAAAATTAGGGATGGCAAGGTATGATGGTAGAGTGCATGACTTCCAACATTAAAGTCTCAAGTTCAGATCCCTGAGTAATTGAAGAATGTTTTTAGTAAACCAGCGTTATTGGTATCAGACTCATGGAAAAGTAAGACAGCTGGGCATAGTAATGACCACATTATCCCTCTTTATGTAGAGGTCATTGAAACATGAACTTTACTTCATCTGCTCCACATGTCTTGCGCAGTGATAGGAAACAAATATTGATTGTATGGTGAGGCAGTGTGGTCAGTGGCCCCAAATCTGGAATTTAACTCAAGGCTAGTCTGTGTCTAAAAACCAATAATGAAACCTATAGGCAATCATGGTGCTAGCCACACAATCCTTTCATTGCTCAGCAGTTTAGCACACAGATCAACATTTTATTTAGCTTTCATAACCTGGGCTTTGCTCACACTTAGCAAACAACTAATAATAAATGTATACTGTAAATGGTAACTTACGTTGAAGACAAGTGGGGACCTGAAGAAAATATTCAAAAGACCAGCAAGTGTCAACCATGATAGGCAACTGAAGAGCATTCCTAGAGAAAAAACATAAAACAGCCATAATTAAAATGTATTTTACTGTTCAATTACACCTAGCATACATTTTTGTAAAAGAGATATATTAACAACTGTAAAATAAATTAATGGTAACTTTAAACTTTAAAGGAGAAAAAACATTATGTGTAGAAACTGCAAATAAGTGAAATAAGTTTTCTTAATCTTAAGCTTGACAAGTGATAAATAAACAAAAAATAGTTTTTTCCCCACCATCAGAAAAAGCACTTATTTGAAACCTATTGTATGATGTAAAATATGTTAAATAATGCTTAATGCATAAATTGACAAGGACTTTTAAAATTTGGACATAAAATGTTTCAATTGAAATAATAAATGTAATGAAATAAAAATGACTGGTAATCTACTTTGACAATCAACTGAATTAAAGTAATTGAATTTTTTTTAAAAGTATGTGAAAGTCCTCACCTCCCATATAAAGGAAGGTTCTATCCTTCCATAGGAGAGCTGACAAGGAAAAGCAGATGAAAATAACAGCTGTGCCAGCCAAAGCAGTGGATACAATGCTGAAAAAGAGTTGTGAATTATTGTATCACAGTTCATTGTTGATTTTTAATATTTAATCCTATATACTAGAACTAATATAATTTTTAAGATCATGTCCTAGGGTCTAGGAGAAAGCTTTGCTTTTACTTTCTCTGAGGTGTAACAGGGTGACATCATTCATTTAGAAAATGGAAAAGCAGATATAGTTTTTGAGGAGGAAAATGTTAGCTCCAAATTTTCTTTAGATAACATTATATTTCTGACAAAACTCTGAGCAGTTATATCTCTATATCATAATAATTATATTTAAAAAAATCTTAGTATAAAACATACCTAGGATCAATTCTTATTACAACCTCAATGAGTGGTCCAAGCGAAACTCCTGAAAACATACAAAATTATTTGCATTTTTCAGATTAGCTGACGATAAAATAATGCAGACTCATTTCCTGGAGTAAATCAAGTTCAATGGTCAAACTATGATTCTGTCAAATAATTAAATAAAAAATGCTGAAATAATTATGTTCTCAACACCTCCACTCATGCCAGTTACATAATAAAAGACATCTAACCTAAAATTAGCTATTCACAATAAACCCAATAGGTAGCTTAGTGTCACAAACCTGATGTAAAGGTGAAGGCTGAAAAGATTCCCACTCTCTTGGTGACATCTTCTTTGGAATGACGAGTAGTTCCAAGCCAAATTATTAAGCCAAAGGATGCAATTACTGTCAATAAGTACCACTAGAGGGTGAAAAGGTGTCAGTCATTTAAAAGTAAAGAAAAGTAAGTTAACATTAATATATCCAAAGGTTTACATTATTAGTGAAGAAGATGTACATTTTTTTTAAATCGAATAAAAAAACACAGGTTTAAATTAAGGTTTTAAAATTTAAAATAACCATGAATTAATCTGACAAAACCTAAATAAATGATAGTTAATTATACCTCTCCTAGCCCAAACATAAGGTGGGCATATGCTCCAAGGGCAGCACTAAGCATGCCAATTGAGAGACAGCTATACACATTTTTCAAGTGGCTCTGTACTCTGTCATCTCTGAAAGTAGTTTGAATTAAGATTATTCATTCAGGGATGTGACCAGACCAGGGGAAAAAATTAGGAAATTTTCTTCGGACAAGAACTCATTATGTTTTATCTATTTTTTTAATCGCAAAGCAGTCTCACGCCATTACTGTTCTAATTAATCGTTTAATATAGCTAATATTATAAATAAAAGAAGTTTATGTTACTCTAAAATGACATTGAAAGTCTTGTCAAATTGCAATTTAATGTTTAACTTATAAACAACTTTTTTTTTTTAAATTACGATTATAATGTAACAAAAGTGGCAATTAAGTTCGACATTTAGCTAATTTAAAGTGTACTAATGTAGTCTAATTACACTTTTGTTTTCAATTTTAAATTATGCTTTATATTTTTTTAAAGATTGGCATGGTAAAAATGTTAGTCTTCAACTGTAAAATGCCTAGATTCAGATTAATTGTAATTTGAAAGTTTTGGGTTCAGGTGATGGAAAATGAAATTGACCAGATTAGCTGAAATTAGAAAGGGTCTGATATGTGAACCAAAGTTAACCATTTCGATAGCCAAACCACATTGTTATTTTTGTTTTTGGAATGGCTTAACTGTAAATTGTTTGAGGTCATCCATAAATGACGTCACGTTTTTTTTTTTACGATTTTTACCTCCCCTCTCCTCTCTATCACAAAAGACAGACCCCTCCCCCTAAAATGACGTCACACCTTAGCCAACAACTGCTCCCCCCTCCTCAATATTGAATTTGAATTTTTTTTTTAAACATCTATTTTTTTTTTAAATATTGACTGAGCTCGACCAACGTAGGGTATTTTAATTAATTTATATTACAATTTTTTAAAAGTTTTCTAAAACGCGTAATAGCGGCTAAAATTCAGTTTATAACATTACTTTTTTAAAATAAAAAAATATGACGTCACACTATCTGACCCCCTCCCCCTCATTACACGTCACAAAATTACGGATTCCCCCCCCCCCCCCACTACGAGTGTGACGTTGTTTATGGAAGACCCCTTATTAATAACAGTACATGTCGTATTTTTTCTTCGGAGTCACGTTGAGTTGAGTTCAGTTTTTTTTTTAATCTGTAGGCCTATAGCATATGTATTGCAGGAACAGCTATTTGAAATTACTGTGACGTCATTTTAATTTTTTTCCCCACAAGCAGTACCAAACACGTACTTGGGGGTCAAGGTGAGGTCACAAGCGCCACGGTTGCTACAAGAGGGGGGGGGGGTAGTCTAATCCTCATAGTCACCTTTTGCAAGGATTTTAATATTAATTTTAGATAGCTAAATAAAATAAAATCAGAGAGAAACTAGATTTGGGTGGGTTAAAATACAGAAAGATAAATTAGGCTATATCGATAGCTAGATTACCAGGCTAGGGAGATGCGAGTTTCATTTGAAGAAAGGCATTATTTTAGAGTACTTTTTCCCGTGTTTTTGATATAGAATCTATATTCAACTGATAGCGGAAAATTTGGACCAAAAAATTGCGTTCTGAAAAATACTGAAATTCGCAGAAATTCTGAATCTTGACCTAGATCTATATTTCATCTTAATCTAGCACCGTCAGACCTAGCGCAATCGTCTAATTAAAAAGAAATGTGCATATTTTACCTAAGTACTGTAATTCTCGATTTAAATACGAATATATGGAATGCGCAAGTCGGCCGTTTCCGTAGATGTCATTTTCGTTTTTTTTTCCTAATTTTTAAAACTTCGGCAAAAATCGAAGTTCGGCGGAAAAATTCGGCAAAAATGAAATCAGCGGAGGAAAATTGCAGCTGAAACGGAAAAATCGGATTTCCGCTAAAATTCGGAAAAGTCACATCCCTGTTCATTTCATATACAAAATCAAATCAATTAGTCAATGTGACCAAGAATTATCTAATTATATAAACTATACATCTCTTTACATAAAAAATAAAAAAGATCCACAATTTTTATTTTGATGGAAGTAAAATTTTACTTACTTTAAAATTTAAAATAAATTTAAAAGAATGCAGAAGTTAAATGATAGTAATTAAGCAGTACAAACTTTCATTTTGGTAAATTGCATTATGTGGTTTATAATACTATCATTCACCATGATAGCATTGAGATCACAAAACTCTAACCCTTACATGGGTTCTATTCTAAACAGTCTAAACAAAGTTAATTGTTTTTTATAACGACATAACAAGACCCCCTCCCATCTCTTCTAGTGTATCCATAGCGGTTACATGTGTTGCAGCAATCTCAGAAAGAAATTCAAAGACAGTAGTTATAAAAGATATAACATTCACTTTTTACGAATGATGTGTTTTTAAAAATCAGACCTAATTATCTGTCCACACCTACTGCAATAGCAGATTCACTGAGTCTACTGTGGTGACTAGATCTAGATGAATCTACCATTTCTATATCATATTACTATATTACTTAGGCCTATAATTAGGCTTATAGGTATTCACCGTATTGCCCACTTCACTATAAAAAACATGACCCAAAATTCTAAGTCAAGATCTAGTTTTAGTTGTGCACTATTTAAAAATGTGGGAAGCAGTCCAAAGCCAACCTAACTAAGCCTAGGGCACATAAGGCTAATGTTTTGTAACTAAGCCACGCCAAAGGTCACTGTCATTTAACTTAAATGAAATGTGTAGGACTTATGCCCTTACAGGCCTAAAAAAGTTTAGTTTGTTATTTCAATAACGACAATATTGTTACAATATCAATTATCATCTCAATATCTGTAGCTTTTCTTTTGGCTAACACATAGGCCTACTAGATCTAGACTAGACCTAGACGTCTAAACTCTAAAGTAAGGGGTCATCCATTTATGACGTCCACATTTTTTTTTGGATTTTGGGACCCCCCCCCCCCCAAAAAAATCCACTTTTTTTTCTTTATACAAGTCCACTAAAGTCAGTTTTTTCGGACCCCCCCCCCCCCGCCTGTGGACGTCATACATGGATGACCCCTAAAGGGAGAATGTTTACACCGGTGTCTGAAAATGGAATCTTCTTTAAAAAAGGGGTGTTAGGTTACTGGTAGTTAACTAACTACACACATGGCTGGCTAATGTCAATGCTAACCCTGTCCCTAACCCCTAACCCCCAACCCTGGTCCAAACATAGATCTAGTAACATATGCCTACCAACATAGTAACACGCCTAACCGGCCTAACCCTAATTTCTAATCATAAAATTAGTCGAGATTACAATTTCCCAACACCCCTTTTTTTTAAAGAAGATTCCATTATCGGACACTGGTATCTATAATCATCCTTGAATTTTTTTGTTAGAGTTGGGTTGAGTTATTCTACTAAAAACAAGAGTTAGACTTTGTGAGTTTGAGTTAGATCTAGAATCTAGATTAGAGCTGTTGTTTGTTAGATCATCTAGGTACTAGGATAAATTTTTAATATTGTTTTTTTAGGGAAACAACTACTACAGTTAAAAGGAGCAGAAAATTACAATAACAGAACAGTTTTCCTTTTTGATGTAGCTCAAACGGTTAAATAGTTATGATTTTTTTTCGTATTAAAAAATGTGATTTTTTTAACATAGGATTTTTTCAATTTCTGTGATAGAGTTTTTTTAAGCGTTTACTAAAATTGTCCTAGCTTGTAAACCATATGGTCAAATTTGTTATAACTTTGCAATGTCTTTATTTATTATATATGGAAGCATAATAAACAATAAAATTAGAAATTTATGGGCAGAGTTAAACAAAAACAGAAGTAGAACAGGGTACCCCCCCTATTTTTTCATATACAGTGCATTCATACAATCTCAGTTAAAATTTTAACTATTCCAAAAATTAAGCTCAAACTTGCTGAGAATGTTGAGCTATGGATGTGTCAGTTATTACAATCAAAATAATATTCACAACTGAAAAGTTTTTTGTTTTAACTGCTACAAAGCTGATAGATTATGCAATTTCGCAAAACCGAAGTCTTGTTGATGTGAAATGCAACATGATGGCAAATTTGAGTTATTAAGCACTTAAGTCTCAAAATTTGCCTGGCTCTAGATGACTCTATTCTTAAACAGAAATAATCAAAATATGTGTTTAAATCTATCTGTTTGACAAAAAATAAGGGGTGGAACAGGGTACACCCCCTATTTTTAAATACGAAATTTGTTCATACAATATCAGCTTAGGTCCAAACTATTTGAATCTAAAGCTAAAAACTAACCAGAGTGAAGCTCTGAAATAAGTGTGTTTGATGGTTCTATCTAAATATTTGACAAATAGGTAAAAGATGGTAAAAAGGTAAAACGCTGAGTCATCAACGCGCCTGACATAATTGAAAAACTGAACTAATATATGAAAATAAAAATGATGGCAAATTAGATCTATTAGAAATGTAAGGTCTTTTATTTGTATAAATGTAATTAACTTGTTAGTCTACTTATAAATATAGTTTAATTAAAAAAGATGTGTTTCTGTCTATTCATTAGTATTTTACATTTCAGAAAAAGTTCAACATTGGACTGGTTGGTTTTAAAAAGATATAGAACTATTTCATATCACTAAACTTTCAATGTACTGCTTCAAAATTTATTTAAGTTATTTAAAAAAAATATTACTTCATTTGTCTAAATAAAAGGTGAACACATTTATTGTAATAGTTTTAATTCCTCTTTACAGTGTTCCCTCATTAGGCCATATAACTGCTCATCATATCGTAGAGATGTGCTGGTTTTAGAAGTGTAGGTTCTATCTGGAAAAGTAAACAGTACATTATTTGCTTTCACATCAAAATAAATAAAAATGGTTTTTCTAGACACTAAAATTAAATATTGAACATTTATTGCTATTACCGCACCAAACCTCCCCCCCCCCCCTCTACTCCACTACCTTCAATATCAAAACAGCGTTTGCCACTATCGCCGGCGGCAAAACATCGTTCGCCACTATCGCCGGCGGCAAAACATCGTTCGCCACTATCGCCGGGGGCAAAACATCGTTCGCCGCTATCGCCGGCGGCAAAACATCGTTCGCCACTATCGCCGGCGGCAAAACATCGTTCGCCACTATCGCCGGCGGAAAAACATCGTTCGCCACTATCGCCGGCGGCAAATCGCCACTATCGCCGGCGGCAAAACATCGTTCGCCACTATCGCCGGCGGCAAAACATCATTCGCCACTATCGCCGGCGGAAAAACATCGTTCGCCACTATCGCCGGCGGCAAAACATCGTTCGCCACTATCGCCGGCGGCAAAACATCGTTCGCCACTATCGCCGGCGGAAAAACATCGTTCGCCACTATCGCCGGCGTCAAAACATCGCTCGCCACATTTTTTTTCTATTACCTCCCTTGCCACTTTCGCTTTCATATTGTAAACAAACGAATTTTTTTATAGAGGTAGCAAATCTGTGCAGCATATAACTTTTGTGCGCTATGTCCAAACAACTTGATTTTTTGAAACAATAGAGAAAAGTGGTGTAGAATTCATGTAAAGCAATAAAATTCCTGTTTATTATAAAAATAAACAGTAGGGAGTAAATTAAACTTACCTTATTTTCACTGAAACACTCCATCTTGAATAATCCATGCACAAAATTAAAAAAACAATGAAAACGCAAAATGTCCATTTTTTTATGAAAAATCGGTAATCGCACGAAAATTGATCGGGCGATAACACCGAGCGATAAAAATTACGAAACTATAGCACTCGCGTAGCAGCAAATTCTCGGCGTCTGGGTAACGGGGACGAAAAACTCGCCGCGCGGCGTAAAACGAGATGTAATCCTAGTACCTAGTAGATCTAATCTAGATCTAGATCTAGACCTAAAGCCGTAAACAGTCAGCCTTGTTAAATGGGCAAATAAAACAATTATTAGCAGGTCTATTGTACTAAAATTCAGTATAGTTGAAATATATATCAAATGAAATAAAAGATAACTTACAAATGACTAAAGTCAAATAAAGCTTGACTTGAAAACAGGCTCCGTCCACTCGTCCTAGGTTGGAAAGCCGCCATTTTGAAGTTAACTTGTATTTTTATTTCTGACGTCACTTGTTACTACTGCTTTTGTTATGTCCCTTGTAGGAAATAGTCGTGTCACTTTTGTGAGAACGTTCCAGACTTTTAGAAATTTAATTTCCAATTTTCTAAAATTAAATCGCAGTAACAGATTTTTTTTTTTAAATCCAGATCAAATTGTCACGCGTCCTAGATAACAGGTCCTGGTCGTTGCGATTGTGCAGTTAAATACACTAAACTGGTGAACGGCTATCCATGTGTTGATTAAAACTTTACTACTAGATCTAGGTCTAATAGTTACATTAGAACATCGGCTGGCTAAGCTTGATTAAAGAAAGAATAGATAAATTGTTACAAAACCACACATCTTATCTTCTAAAATTGATTTTCTCTTAGTAATAATAATCCTCGGTTTTAATGCAGAGCAGTGTAACATAAGCAAATATTTTCTCTTGACACGCTGTTTCTAAAAATAGACAGGACTAGCTGAGGTGTGATAGTGGTTGGGGAGCGGTTGCTTTTAACATAAACGGGAATTCATCTGTTTGACGTGTTTCTTTAGACCCTTCAAAATTGTTTACAGGTTGAAAATGCGTTGACTTTATTGTGTGACTACGCAAAATCTATATTTAAAAAAACCGTTAAATCGTATTTAAAAGCGAAAATAATGTGAAAAGTAACACAAATCTTTCAATGCACCCTACTAGATTAGAACTAACATAGACTACCAAGTCTGTTTAAAAAACAATAAGAATTAGATCTATCTTAAATATTAAGTAAGCACAGCTATGTTAGTTTTGGTGTTATTAAGTAGATTTAGTCTATCGAATATTAATATGAACAGTCGTTGAAAACGTGTACTTTAGACTACGATATTTTAAAACCCGGCTTAAATAGCATCACATTAATCACTTTTAATCAAAATAAAACACATTTTTAAATTTACAGTTTAAAAATTTGTGTCGGTAGGCCTAGATAAAAATTGCGAGCAGACTGCACATGACTTGTGAATATCCTTTTGTTACGTTGAGGATTTGGATCAAAGCCAATACATGTAATATACTAGATTTTCCTCCGCTACGTGTTGCTTAGTAACCGTCTTCGCGCTAGTCGTATATTTAACTTTTAATTGCTCTAAAACGAAGTGAATTATGCCACGTGGCGTTTTGCTACTCCTTCTTTAAAAATCGTTTCTTACTTGTGTAAATTATAGCATTAAACAACTATTAAACAGGTAGATTATTGTGTATAGGCCTACGTGGCGTTTACATTTCTTAGCGGGAATTCAAATTACAGGCTATGCTACCACTCTTTGCTCAAGAAACAGGATTGGCTTTACAAGAAATAAGACTTGGCATAAACATAAAGAGTCAATGTCGGCGTCAATATATAACGTCAACTTCTGGGGAAATAACTTCGTTTTCGTGACATTGGGGAGGAAAGGGTTAAGAATTAAGATACCGTCACGTTTTTATTTTATTTTTAAATGTAACTTAAACTGAATCTTAACAGTTACTGTTGGCTACAATTTTATATGGGGAAGTAGACTTTACATTAAGGTGTAAAGTTTTTATAGTGGAAAGAAAGTTTAACTTTTTTTTTTGGGGGGGGGGGGGGGGGTCCCATAAATGAGGTCACTCTCCAAGGAGTCGAAATTTTGTGACAAGTGGGAGGGGAAGGGGGTCAGACATTTTCAGACATGATTTCACGTTTTTAAAATAGTGTTTTTGTAAATTGTAATAAAAACTAACTAATTAAGGCATACTCAAGAAATCGATGTATTAAAAACCAAAAACTGCAATTTAAAGTGTAACGCCATTTTAGAGGAGAGGCTCTAGCTTTTTGTAACAATGTCTGACATTTTAGGAGGAGGGATGTCAAATTGTCAAAAAAGTGTGGCGTCATTTATGGATATCCACATAGGCAATATAGGCTTCACATTCTCAGTAATTCTCTACATGATACTGTGCAGTTTGGGCCTTGAATCAAGTAGCACCCTACACCCATGTGCAATACGCATAATCAACAGATCACAGGTGCTTAAACAGCTGCTGGGAACTCTGGAAACCCAATCATCACATCCTGCCGGGAGAGGGGGGCGCCTTTCTGAAATATTTTTTTTTCGCAGAAACCTCCCCACGTATATTCTTGTCAACTTCCCACAAGTTTCATGACGATCAGATAAAAGGTAATGGTATGCATAAAAGACAAAGAAATAATCAAAGCCAGAGACATACACACTTTCATTTGAGTGTGGGTTTATCCACACACACACACACACACACACACACACACACACATATATATATATATATATATATATATATATATATATATATATATATATATATATATATATATATATATATATATATAAGTAGAGGAGGGGGAAATTCGACCTCTCCCCATGAACAATTCATGTTTACACCTCTGGTTTATGCAGTTGTTGTGCAACGTTTATGGGTTGAAGTGGTGTGTTGACAAGTCCATGTGCAGGATCGTGAACATCCATCAAAATTTAACTAAGAAATGTATTGAGACTTAGATCTACTTAAAGTGTAAGATGTCTACAACAGAGAAGTAGTAACACAACCCAGATAATAAAAAATACATACAACTGACTATAAAAACGTTAACAATACATGAGCATTTTCTTAGAAAACTAGTTATATAAAACCCCACTGTATATCAATAAAAAAATTAAAAGTTATCGGCCTTTATTTGCACTAAGGCACTTTCTAATTCTGCTTAGAAATATCTATAGTTATTCTATTATCTTTTAAAAAGTCGAATGCAGATCTATAAAGATATAGAAATGTCAAATTACATATACAAATATCACAATGTTGGGCTTGCTAATGGCGGCATTACTGATGATCGAAGTGGCCGAGTAGGCGGTTCCATCCGATACTCTCCAGCAGTGTTTCTTCCAGACTTTTTTCTCCGGGGGTAGGGTGGGGTGGGGGGGGGGGACTAAAATTTCGGGGAGGGGGAGTGGAGAAACTGGTAAAAGTGTTTATTTTCTATATAAATTTTATTTTGTTCGGTTTGATTACTGTATAGGTCGCTTCTGTCGAGAGGCGTAGTGACCCTTCCCGGCGCCCGGGGACAAACTTTCAATTTGCCCCCCCCCCCCTTTGGGAGCAACCTTTCAATTTTCAATTTGCATCCCCCCCCCCCCCCTCTCAAAAACTTTCGATTTGCATCCCCCCTATATATTTTTTATATTTATAATGTAAAAATGCAGCTAAAAGGTGATTTTAATTTGTTTTTCCGACCCATTTTGGCGCTCCCTAAGGTCGGCGCCCGGGGACATATGTACCCCCCCCCCTCGCTACGCCTCTGCTTCTGTCCTTCGGTTCTCACAGGGCTTATCTTCCACCCTACTCGTACCCCGCAGTACAGTACCTGGCCCAACCGTAGGAAGCTAATAACTAAAATACTACGTCACTCAGGTCAAATTCATGCATGATGACAGGTAGAGGAATCCATTCTCGGTAAAATTACATTCCCCATTTAATAATATTCGAAAAAGGCGGCACTTAGGGACAGAGGCGTAGCGTCCCTTCCCGGCGTCCGGGGACAAACTTTTCGATTTGCACCCCCTCTCAAGATTTCGATTTGCACCACCCCCCCTCCTCAAACTTTCGATTTGCACCCCCCTCAACCTTTCAATCTATTTTTCCAACACATTTTGGCGCCCGGGACATATGTCCCCCCCTCCCGCCCCCACCTCGCTACGCTACTGATTAAGGAATGGGGAGTGGCAAGCATGGAACAGTCGTCACGTGGCTGTCCACATTTCCGCCTGGTGCCCAAGCGGCTGTCGACTTTCCGTATACTTTCTACTTCACCTATTCTCGATGTCTCTGATGAGTGTTTCTATCCTGTTTAAGTTGCTTTTCTTTACAGTATAATTTTTTAAAATGAGTTTTGAAAATGAAATAATATAATTAATATTTGCGCATTGAATTAGAGAGCCGTGATCAATGGAGCCGCATGCGGCTCGCGAGCCGCACTATCCCATTTGCGTTAAGGGCGGATGGACAGGGTGCGGTTTTTAACGAAATCATTTAAGTATCTTAATTTTAAGTTTCTTAATCAGCGTGTGCATTGAATATGATGTTGTGTTGACTAATAATGTATATAATTTTGTTTTAATTTTTCTAATAGGTATTGGTAGTCTATGTTATTTATTATTTTAAATGTGTCGGATTTTTTTAGCTATATACACTATATAGATCTAGTTATTTCTTCCTTTGTCACTAATATCGTTCAGTGTCAACGTGTAATAAAGCATATCGTTTTGACCAATAACTTTTATAAAATATTTTTCTCAAACAAGAATAGTATTAAAATATATAGGCCTATGATACCCGTGTAACGGGTACCGACGGCTAGTAAAAAAATAAAAATGAAAACTATGGCCTATTGGCTAATAATTTTCTTAATTGTAGTGGAAATTCCCACAAGACCGCACATTGCTAGCGCGTGCGCGGCATCGTTCAACGAACACCAAGTTAGTAAACACCGTGGAACAAACAAGGACCACCGCTCCTCCTACCAGAACAGTTACTTGTGACAATAAATTACAGCAACCGAAGCCCCTTCAAAAACAGAAAACAATCATGTTTAAAACGAGTAATGTCTCAAATAAAGTTTGTCATGTTAAGAGTAAATTTTCAATTGGATGACCCCTGGTTCTAATTACACTAAATCATACTACAAAATTTGAAATAGAATTGCAGAAGTTGTTTTTTTTTCCACGAGAGATTAAATCTTTTTTAATAAGTGAAACTGAGATTCTGATCATGCTTAAATTATTTAATAGGTATCCATTTAATTGCATTTATACTGATCAGTACAAGTATAAGAACAGCTGGTTAAGAAAATCCGTGGGCTTAACACCACGTTTACACTTGCAACATGTAGATCTATACCTGGACAAAAAAACTCGCCACAAGTTAATGTTATTGAAAACATTCTCCACTCGGAACATGAATAGCTTACTTGTTACGAGTTGGGTTTTTTTTTTTAACTCCAGACATGTTGCAAATGTGAACGCGGTGTAACCCTGCATGCAACTTCCGCCATATCAAAACAAATCTTTGCAGCCAAAAGAAGTGTGTGTTGTCTCTGTGTAATACTCAAATAAATAATATATCAGTAGAAGTTGTTGATCTAGCTTATCAACTTACATTTATACGCATTTTTCACTTAAGCCTTAAATTTAACGGTAACAAGTGGACAAAATATGCAGTTTTTTAATTTTAGATTATTAAACTCCGACCCCCCCCCCCCCCCCCGCATAAATAAAACAACAAACATTTACATTACCGTAATTTACCACAAGAAATTAATTACGTCATTCTTACTTATCACTTATCTAACTCAAACTTATAGTAGAATCCTTAGTTAGACTCTAGTAGATCTAGTAACTACTAGATCTAGATCTAATATCTACATTCTAAAATCTAACTACAAAATACATTTTGACTGATTCACAAGGACCTAGATTCTAGATCTAGGTTGGAAGGAAGGGGTCTGTAATTTACTAATTTTGTGACAATTTGTGGGGAAGTTCAGATGGACACAATTGGGCCATTGGCAGATCTAGAATTCTAGATCTAGTGGGGCTTCATACTGAATTTACTCATACTTTTGCATTTGAATGAAAACTTTATTTTAAAGTAATTTTACATAGGCCTACTGAAATTTAGCAGATTTTTCGTGTCTTTGAAACAAAAAAAGTTTTTGTAAATTGTTATAGAAATTGATTGTTAATAAATAAATAGGGGCCTATAAATATAGGCCTAGTTATATACTAAATACTATATATACTCTATGTTATCCGTGCTCAGTCAATATTTTTTTTTTTTAGAAATAAATTGTTTAAAAAAATTGAACTGCAATTTTGAAGGGGGAGGGTGTTGTAGGCTGAAATATGATTTCATTTTAGGGTGGGGGTCTGGCATTTTGTGTGGAGGGGAGGTAAAAATCATTTTTTTAAAAGCGTGACATCATTAATGCTAGAAACATATTACAAAGATGGTATAACAAATGTTGTCATAAAATAAAACATAAAAAATACAAAGGTTAGATTGTAATGTGCCACACCCCCTCAAGATATCATTAGTTTACTAAGCTATTTATCACAATTTATAACTCAAATTTAAATTAATTTTCAAATTTTTGTTACATATTTGGGTAAGATGAAGCACATATGCCAAGTACTTGCCAAGTAATTTTTACAAAAGTGATGACCCTGGCTTTGAAATTTCCCCCCCCCCCCCCGGTAATTGTGACATTAAACATAATGTGAATATATGCTAAATTGACTTTGTTTACTATGACATTGTGATTGTGATTATTGATAAATTTTTCATAACTAAATATTTTTTTTAAATGTTCATCAAACTGTTTATCTTTAAATCTGACTTTAATCTTAATGCCTAACCAAACACTAACCATAAAAAAGTTCAACAAACACTTTTTATTTACTTAGTAAATCAGATAAAAAGATGAATAAAAATTTAGGATTAAACAGAATAGAACCCACGCCTCTTAGTGAATGTCCTGAAGTACACTCACACCAACCACCAGTGCAGTTGTGAAAAGTCGAACGTCGTACACAAGTCGATAAATATAAATATTCTTGCATGCCTAAGACGATAAAATATAACAATAATATGATTGGCAGTGTACAAATTATACTTAGTTAGACATTATTCTCTAACTTTTTTCTGCTACACCTAGGGAAAAAATCCCAAACTTATACTGTAATTTTGTTTACCATTGAAATAGGATTTTTTTTTTTTTAATCTACACAAGCTCTGCCATTCAAAGACAGTTTGCGTATGCATGTCAATTATACCCATATGAATTTTAAGTTGATAACTTTAATAGGTGTTAAATGAAAGACTGAACATCCAAATGATGTCCTAATTCCTCCTCCCCCACTTCATTCATAAAAGTTCACTTGATTATAATTTTTACAAGTTATCTGTCTGGAAATATTCTGCTCTAAAATGGCTTATGATATGGGCGACCTAACAATAATGATTTTTGCAGATAGTCGGATTCCTATCACCAGCCTCTGTCCCCAACAGTGATGAATGATTTTTTTGTTCACATCAAAATTTTAATCCATACCTATTATGTCTTTGTTTAGGAACTTCTGTGCAATCAATGGCTACTAGCATCAGTACAGGCTCTAGTGCCGAATCATCACAAAACAAGGTTTGTAAAGAAATCATACGCTGTGTTAACTTTGCAGCATTGAAGCACAAGGACCAACGCAGAAAAGATGAAAACCAAACACCGTATGTGAACCATGTTATAGGTAAGTCTGTGGCCTGCATTGATTTTTGAATAGAGTGCACAATTTGAAAGTACTGCTTTCTAATACGTTTATAGAAAGTTAATAAGTTAGTAGTAAAGAGTGATACTTTTCAATGAAAGTGAGATTTGCCAGCTACTGAACCTACATCTTCATATAATAATGAACTAGTGATTTAAATTTTTATTTTCATTTACTGCAAACTTTAAGTAACCCATTAATTATTTTAGCGAAAATAGTCACAATATTAATTAGAAAAAATTCACCTATAAAACATAACTTGTTTTTCACTTGATACAGGGGTTGCATATATTTTAACCCATGAAGCAGGAGTGTGTGATATCCCAATTATTCAAGTAAGTTTTTTTTCTAAGTAACTATTAGCTATTTCACTTGACATATTCCTTTGTGGCCCCTGAGGAACATAGAGCTGCATTCACAGCTCTCCACCGGTCTCTGTTTTAAGCAGCTCTCCTTAGGGGCCCCCAATTTTTTTTGGATTTTGGACCCCCCCCCCCCCCCCACAAAAATCCACTTTTTTTCCCTTATAAAAGTCCATACGCATCTGCAAAAATCAATTTCTTCAGACCCCCCCCCCCCCCCACTGTGTGGACGTCATAAATGGATGACCCCTTATTTGCACCTATGTAGTTGTAAGCCTGGCAGCCCTTGCCTCTCTTCCCATTGTCCTCCAGGATTGCCTGGGCTATTGCAATACAGATTTAATCAAAATAAAATTGTGTAAAATGTGCTTTGTTTATCTCCCGCTAGGCTGCACTACTTCATGACACTGTTGAAGACACAGACACAAGCATTTATGAAATTCAGACTGAATTTGGGGAAGATGTAGCCAGTAGGTAGACTTTTATATTAGTCCAATTCTTTAAAAAATCTAATAGATACATAGTTACAAAAAGCATGAAAATAGTAGGGCAACTAGGATTGCAGTCATTCAACCCTGTTTTCAGCTCCACCACCCTTACAACTTACCCATAATTCAAACTATTTTTGTGTTATGAATTTTTGGAACACATTTCTTAACAGCTTTACTAGAAAGTTGAAATCCACATAAAAAAATTAAAATATGTATTGAACTTTAATGGATAGACTAAATAATGTGATTAAATAAAGCTCAGACAGTTATTTTTCTTTGTATTTTACCTTTAATATAATGCTTCATGTGTAACTACAACCACATTTCTTTACTACATTACTGTTTGATTAAGAAAGTTTAATGTTTCTAAAAAGTGACTTAGGTTTAATAACTTTGTGTATTAGAAAAAAAAATTAAGTTTTTTGTTAGTTAATTGAGGTGTAATTTTCAACAGATTTAGTAAGGGAAGTAACAGATGACAAAACACTCTCAAAAGAGGAAAGAAAGCGCAATCAAATTCTTCATGCACCGCAGTCTTCTAATCGAGCCAAACTTGTGAAGCTGGCAGATAAATTATACAACCTCCGTGACTTAAGGCGCACCACCCCGCAAGGCTGGACACAGGAACGAGTGCAAGAGTACTTTGAATGGGCAGCAAAAGTCGTAGCGGGATTAAGGGGAACAAACAAAAATTTGGAGGATACACTGGATGTGCTGTTTTCCGAGAGGGGCATACATATATGATTTTTAATTTGACAGCTTTTGTTTTGAAATTACAGCTAACAAGAAGTTGTTTAGATTTAAACCCCTGGGTCAATATTTTTATAAGGCAACTTGTACTGTTTACCTCAGGTAAGTAACTATTTGAGAATGTTTTAAGATTATAGTGCCATTAAATAGTTGTATCTGATCATTTAATCCATTGAAAAGTGTAGATTATTATAGTTACCCCGTAAGACTTACAACTAAACTGTGTTACTAATATCAACAGTCAACATAGATAGAAGATATCACTAAATGAAATTCAGCCTGAGGTATTTAAACAGTGCTATCTCTTACCATGTCTAGAATCTAGTTTCTGAAATAAAATTCTCACACAACTTTATGTTATAGGGTCATCTTAGATATGTTGTATTGAGCAAAGATAGTGGGACATTTCTGATTAAAGCAGAGAATCACTGATTCCATTGCCACCAATGGTATGTGTATACTACAGTGGATGAGAAAAGAAACTGAGTATCATTTTGATTTGCTGTATGTTATGTTAAAAATGGCAAAAGAAAAGTTGTTTTGTAAAAATCCACTTATCATTTTTTTTAAAACAGTAATGGAATATCATAGACAGCATGTATTAAATGCTTAAATGTTCTGTTCCTAATTTGACCTTTAAATAGTGCAATATCATAAATGGTTATTTGCCAGTATTTGAATGTGAGTCACAGAATGGCTTTAAATGTTTTTTCTTTTTTTTTGTCTTGTGTGATACTTATTTACCATAGGATTTTATATCCAATTTGACATTTATTTTATCTCTCTGGTTGATCAATTGCTTTGTTAAAGATTTGTGTATGTAAGTTTGTCTTGTTCTTTGAAGTCAAATATTTGCATACTATTAACATTTAGTTGAGATGACTATAAAAGGCGCCACTTGTAGTCTACTAAAATATAAATTGTTATGCCAGTGAAACCATGATTCACAGAAAGGCATTTTTTAAAATAAAATATATTTATTTTCCATTGAAATAGGTTTTTAACTGTGAATAGCAACATTTTTAGTGTGCAACTGGTAAGAAAAAATAATCATTAATCCCTTTGTTTTATAGTTAACAATAATCCACTTGTTAAAATTACAAGTAACTTGTTTAATTATTTATGAAATCTAATGCAGATATTATTCTTGAGAGTTTTTCAAATCCTAAACTCATAAGCAACATATTTTTAAAATTATTATTTACTGCGGGAATATCCTATTGTGGTCATGACCTTACTTTTACATGGACTTTTTTTTTAATGCTGGGAAAAATGAAATGTTTATTTAATAGAGAATTATGTATGACTTTTTCCACATTTCTAAGTTTATCTATAAATCATTTGTTCAAGTAATACTTTTTTTAAATGCTAGTTATCTCCATTGGAAAGCAAAGTGGTTGTGCTAGAAGCTTTGTTACTGCACAATTACATTTGTTCTGAACAAATCCTCAACAGTTGCTTGAGAATTCAGATTGTTTTCTTGGCACTTATTGATGCAACAGTTCATTAAATACTCTGACTGATCTATTACCACCATTAACATCAAAACTTGTTGCTAGTTTTCATCAATCCCTATTTGACTACTGCAACTTTACTCGGTAATTTGTACTTTGATAAAATCTTTAGAATTTGTTTTATGGTTGTCTGTACAGCATGGCTTATATCCTATTTATTTTAAACTAAAAACATGATCATCTAGTTTTATCTCATAACCAAGGAAAACCCAATATATAATGTTAACTATTTTTTTATTTATTTTTTGGCAAAAATTCATAAAAATTAATTATTAAAAACATACTTGTAGTTTCAGATTTGCTTTAGACAGCATTTTTCATTCACCATACTTTTTTAAACTGCTGTTAAGTCCTAGTAGCTCATGCTGCATGGTGGATTTCCTGGTTAGTATAGCCTAAAGAAACTTGACATGCTGTACATACCTGCTTATGTAAAGTAAAATGATCATCATTGTAAGTGTAGTAAAATATCTATGTTTACATATCGGTTATAATGCAACACATTCCAGCATTATATTTTCAAATGTTGTAATCAATTGGAAACTACCAATCTGACATATTTTGATATTTATGTATAGGCCTACTAGATATAGGTGTGATTATTAAATGGTATCATTGATTTCAAGATATAGGATAATTTAAAAAAAATGAAACCTTGTACATTTTGCTGGCAACAACTCCATCATGAAGATGTTTTTCTGGGGGCTGTGTGGTCTGGTTTGTTCCACTAATAAAATTGAGTACTGTTTTTAATGGCTTGATTTATATTCTCTCAGTTTTAATTCAGTTTACTTCTCTTTAAAAATAATGTTTTTTTTTTGTTTCAATCTTGTTTTTAGACCAGTTTATATCTAATTTTGTTTACTATTTAAACTGCATATTTTTGTTCCATAAAATAAGCTGTATTTTGAATAGTTTACCTTTATATTTATTATATGCAACAAAATACAATTTGTTTATTGAAATAGTTAATATAAAAAAATATCAAGAAAAATAAATGCTTATATTTAAATGATAATTGACAATATTATGAGTAGGCCTAAAGCTATTTTCTCTTTAGTTTCTGTATCTAAGATGTTGAATTTTATAGTAGTTTACCTTAATGTGATTGTAACTTGTGCCATTTAAAGAAGCCTTGGTGAATTTTAGCCTTTAAATTGTTTCATCTTACCCATTGTCTATTACAGGCCATGTTTTAAATGAAAAAAGTGTTAGTTATATGTCCATAAATCAACTATATGTAGTTTACATTTTGTTGTGCTGATGATACATCTTGATATATAGAATGCTGTATGGACATAAATTAGCTGGCTGAGACTCTGGTTGAAAACATATTTAGATAGTTAGCTGATAATGTTTCACATTTTTAAAATATATTTGCAACATAGCAGATGCATTAAACACTGTCCCAAAACTTGAAACATAGCTGATGCAATGACCACTGGCCTGAATATTGGGACATAGCTGATGTGATTACTACTAGCCCAATACTTGGGAAATATAGCAGATGCAATAACCATTGGCCCCAATCTTGAAACATCGTGGGCACAATGGCCACTGGCCTGAATATTGGGACATAGATGATGTGATCACTACTAGCCCGATACTTGGAACATAACTGATGCAATGACCACTTAACCAAAACTTGGAGGCATAGCAGATGCAATGACTACTGGCCTGAATATTCAGACAAAGCAGATGTAATGAACAATAGTAAAGTTCAATACTTGGGACATAGCTGAAGCAATGACCACTGGCCTGAATAATGAAATAAAGCTAATGTAATGACCAATAGTATAGCCCAATACTTGGGACATAGCGGATGCAATGACCACTGGCCTGAATAATGGGACAAAGCAGATGTAATGACCAATAGTATAGCCCAATTCTTGGGACATAGCAGATGCAATGACCACTAGCCCTATACTTGGGACCTAGTGGATGCAATGACCACTGTCCTGAATAATGAAATAAAGCTAATGTAATTACCAGTAGTATAGCCTAATACTTGAGACATAGCAGATGCAATGACCACTAGCCCAATACTTGGGACCACTAGCCCAATACTTGGGACATTGCCGATGCAATGACCACTGGCCTGAATAATGAAACAAAGCCGATGTAATGACCAATAGTATAGCCTAATACTTGAGAAATAGCAGATGCATTGACCACTGTCCTGAATAATGAAATAAAGTAGATGTAATGACCAATACTTGGGACATAGCGGATGCAATGACCACTTGTTAAACACTTGAAAACTGCTGGAGAACTACTCAAACACAGCCTACTAGCTGCTGAGATAACCATAGCCACCTATTTGGAAATCAATTTAGATTTTTATATCTAATCTTTACAGTAGAGATCATGGAATCATCTTTGATATTGATACAGTGAATCTGTATAGCATGTGTTAATATTTTGCTTTTAACAGTATTAAACACTGTTTTTGTGATGAACAACCATGAATATATTTAGATCAAACAGTATTTTATCTCCCTGCTTGTTTATTAGTCAATATGGATAATGGTAGAATAGTTTTGTCCATACTGAAAGTGTAATATGTAGTGTTTGTCTAATAAATAATCCTGAAACAATAGAATAGGTAGTTTCTTTTGTTATGTTTTTTTTTGTTCTAAAATTGTAATTTAAAATTTTTTTGTTGTTGCTTAGTATTTTAAAAAAAATGATTGTGTTGTATATTTTAAATGCTATTTTGTATATCATCTGTTATATCTGGTAATTAATGTTCAATTCTAATTCCATTGTCTTATGTTAACAATTAATGTTTTAATAGTTAAAACAAAAATACTTTTGCATCCATTGATTACCATCCATACTTCGGTGTGCTTGAATTTTGTAATAGCATGAACATGCATAGAACAATTCATCTTGCATTGTGCTTAATTGTCTGTTGTGTATCTTAGATTTTCCTATAATTTAACAATATTTGTATTATTTTATTATGGAGGAGGGGAGATAACCACTCTATTTTTTTCCCCTTAATAACAAAGACAAATATTTTAAATTTTTTTTTTACAAGTTTAGACTTTTGTTCTCCTTATAAATTTACACAGTAAGCACATTCATTTCACAAGTAGTCTTGGGTAAATAAAGAAAAATTTATTTTTATTACACAAAACGTTATAGATCTATATCAATTGGAGAAATTTATTTAGTGCACTGTCACATTTAAAATACCATCTTTTCACATTTATTGAGATATAAATTTTTTACATAGAAATATTTAACTGCTTTACAATAATAACTATTTTATGATTGTATGTGTATACCTAAATGTTAGATCAAGCTTGAACTGTGAAGACTGAGCATCTGCAAGCTGTCTCTGTAGTCTTTACGAAGCCTTGACCTTTACCTTGTTGACATAGATGATGAAATTGTTACAATTTACCACCCTTTAGAGTTGTGTACAACCTATTCATCATCCTTTAGAGTTGTTTTACACATGTGCATTGATATTACTGGTGTTGGTTAACTGTTGATATTATACATTGTTTGTCTTCATTAATAAAGCTTTTGAATGGATACTTCATTTTAATTCCTTTACTTTGTCATCTCCACTTTGTCAAGTGGAACTTATTCTACTTTTAGTTTTTCAAAAGCACATAATATAAGAGTATTGTTTCAGATAGACGAAATATCACAAATAAGTAAAAGATCTAATTCTCTGCCTACCAAATTTTGAGTAATTTCCGTTGACTGGAAGTAGTACTTTATTTCTGATTTTTCAAAAAACTCATATGAATTTTTTTCTAGGAGATTCTATTGTATTTTAAAAAGTTTAAGTAATTAAAAATAGATTAAAAAAACATGTCTATATCCTGAGTTGCCATCCCAGTTTTATATAAGAATATTCAAGAAAGTTTAGGGGAGATCACTCCCGGTTTATTTTTGTTGCTATTTTACATTTTTATGATAAATTTTTAAATAAAATTTTAGAATATTTTGGGGAAAATTCAGTATTTAAAATTCAAATTGCCATTTTACAATTTATTTACTATCAGAAATATTTTCAAACAGATTAAAAGAATAATACTGGCAGAATGTTTTGAAATGAGATGGAGATATTTAATTATTTATCATGCTAAACTAAATACATATCAAAGCCTGGGTTACAAGATGAGAAGAGCCCATGTTGCCCATGTAACAGACCTCTGTCTTCACATTGCTGTTGTGTACAAGCTTGAGTTTACTAAAAGAATGAAGAGTTTGAGATGATTGTGTCAAGCAGGTTTATTGATGTTAAACTCACCATGTTTGCTAGGGGCCTACTCATTTTATAAAGAGAGATAAAGAACTGCTCAAGAGTTCTAGCTTAAATTTTGGTCACTACTGAAGTGAAAGCAAATAAAAATTAGAAACTTAGATAAGAAACAATGTTTACATCTGTATGAGACAAGTTTATTTTCATTGACACAATGCTATTTAAAATTATTCACCTTTTAAACTTGACAAATATGTTTATAAAAATAAATAAAAGACTGAACATGTGTCAAATACTGACAATGATAATGTGATAATATTTTCTAGACCTTAATTACATTACAATGAAAATAATAATGGCAAGGTAAATAAACCATGAGGATAATGACAATTATAATGTATAGCAAAACCAAAATAGAGAAAAAAATATAGAAACATGACAAAATGCATTGTATGGATGAGCACTTCATGAAATAAAAATAAGACATGACTGTAAAACTATTACTCACTCACAAGGACAGTTATTTGTTATGGGTGAAAATAAAACACCCCACAATATAAGAGATTCTTATTATTTTAGCAGAAAAATTCACTAACCTCATTTGATTTTAAATATTCCCTAGGAATAATGCAACAAGCTAAAGTTATTTAACAATGTATTTAACTCTTGTTAGTTGTTGTGCTTTACTGTAAAAGTTGTTGCAAGAGTAATAATGAAAGGTTGTCATTTTTTTTAAACAACATTGCCTACCTAGCCCCTATTCAGGGAATTTCATGATTTGAAATACAATAAATAAAAATGTTTACAAAAAATAAGGGAAAGTAAGTTTAAAAAAAACAGAAATGTAACAGTATTTACAGTAAAAAATAATTTTGGCTAGACAAAAACTAGAACAAATATTTTATTTAAATTCACTTCATACAATGGAACATTTTCTCAACAATTATACCATTCATATAATTTGTGTTTTTCATATAATAACTTATTACATTATTTACAAAGCATTTTTAAATAACTTCCACAAACAATCAATACAACTACCTCACAACTTCACATCACAGTTCACAAAGAAAAGATTAATTAATACAATGGACAATGCCATTGGTAAGTAAATGAAATTTGCAATAAAATATTTTGGTTCTTATAAAAAATTGACAGCAGGACACAACCGTATTGTACAGATGTTTTCTTGTCTGTATTGCTGTTAAAATCACGGTTAGCATTAGGGTTAAGTATAGGTCAAAGATAACATGATAAAGCTACTAGCAAGAAAATAGCCTCTAATACAGCCCTTCTTAACCTTTTTGGAGGTAATAATCCTGCATGTTTCATATGTGCATTAACAAACCCTTTTTAATAGTTTGCAGTCTGAACTGAATGAAATCTTATTGTTGGGTGTGTAGCTTGACCTTTGCCAAATCCCTGGGGTTTGATCGACCCCAGGTTCAAGAACCACTGCTCTTGTAAATTCTGCTGACATTTCAAATAACTACCAAAATATTTTTAATGCCTTTTCATTTGTTGTTTTAAAACATTAGGGAAATGGACAATTTATTCTTGGCTCATATACATACAGTGCTGCCAGTTGGCAAATCCCAACACAAAAAAACCCCTTCTAGTTCTTCACCACTTCAACAATAGGAAGACTTATCATGTATAGAACAGAATATTTTATCATATGAATATAACAAAATATTTTAACATAAATAAATTATGAAAACTATTAATAAATTGTTATCTAAAATTCACTTTTAAAAAATTTTCAAAAAATTAAAAAAAGTTTAAGTAATTTTTAAGTAATGCACTCGTTTCGTTATATTTATTAATTTATAGTATAAAAATTAAAATGTAAGTTCTGAAAAAAAAAAAGAAAGAAAAAACTCACTTCTATTTCATTTTCAGGGAATGTTAGATAAATGTGACACAAAAAATTAACAATTACACTGTTGTTTACTAAACATGTTTTAGTTTTTAAAGATTTCTTTCTTTAAAAACCTGCATGGATAATGGAAGCTTTTAAACTGAAAGCAATTAATTTAAAACAATCGATTTCATGGTCAAAAAATTAACTAATATGAAATTCAAATCCTTAGATAGCAGTGTATAATGCTAATACCAAAAGATGAGAAAATACAAATTAAATTTGTACTTGGGCTCAGTTTTAAGGAAGCATTATTGCTATGTTTGTAAGAGTATTTACATTTACAACTGGGCTAAACAAACAAATTTCAGTTGATATGGTTGATTTCAGAATTTTGATATAGCTTTCAGTCTTCCACAAACGTTTGATACAGCATTCACACATTTCCTACTGGAATTTTACTTCTTAGCTTGTTCAGATAAAATCTGGCATATCATACTTAATCAGGCTTTCACATTCATAAAAATCTGGCTTCCATCATAAAAAATGTGTGTTCTACTTTTTTTTTAAGATCTGGTGCTTCATAAATATTGTAAACACCAAACAACACTAGTAATTAGCTCTTCTTCTTTCTACACCATTAATACATTAACTCCTTACCTAGATATAACTACAAAATTGACACAATTAACTAAAAAAAATTACGTTTCAAATAATTTAGTTGTATAATTAATAACAAATTAAATAAAACTTTAGAATTGTCCCAAAGGCTAAGTATAGTTAGATTTAGCAAGTAGGCTTGGATTGTTTTTACGTATCAAAATTTTACATGGTTCAATTCTAAATTTCTTAATTTTTTTACAATTAACAAAAACATTTTAAAAATTATTTGCTTTAACAGCTGGATGAATTTTATTATAAAAAGAAAAACAACTAAGCACACTTAAAATCTATTATACATGATTGACCCATTTAATAAAAGAAAGAAAAGTAATAAATTTACAATCATTTGAATGGAAGAAACCAAACTACAGAAATGAACATTCATGATAAATACATAACATTATATAATAAACCAGTATCAAATGAGTTTCCACCAACAAAAATAGATTGCGTTTTGTCAAAGCTAGTTCGCCCTCCAAGATAAGCTCAAATTGTCTGTTGATTCAAGAAAACATTGCCTATCACAGTAGATCCATTTTTTGATTGCTGGTTGGCCAGAAGGTCTGAAAGAACAGAAGCCCAGTTGCTGCATGACGATGATGCTCAATGTACTTTAGTGTCCTCAAAATAGTGCACATTTTTACTTATCTGCACACCTTTCAGTATACAGCACACCTTTTAGCATACTGCACACATTTCACTATTATGTACACCATAGTGTACAATTTTCCACTGCACTGAGCTGTTTTAAAAAACCTGATTGTTTTATTGTACTTGCTCTTAAAATATTTGTGTACTGAAGTGAATTGTACTCATTCCATTCACAACATCTTCTAGTTTTAATATTCTGTATTCTTTTCACTGTACAATTTTTCACTGTTCAGTACTCCTTTCACTGTCCTGCACTCATTTGCTTGCAATCTCCTCAAAGGACTGCACTTGTCAAGCTGATTCAGTACTGGGCTGGTTGAGTTATCCAGGTAAAACATTCACAAGTCAACAAGTTACCTCCCCTCCTCCCCCTAGGACCTGGCGCTGTAGTTGCCAGAGCTGTTACCAGAGCTGCTGCCACTGCTGCTGTCCACTATCTTGGGCATGAGTTTCTCTGTCTTCTCCGCCCGGTCCCCAGTGGTCAGCTTGAGCATGTTGAACAGGTTTTTCTTCACTCTCAGGATGGTCAGCCGTGATTTGGGGTTGTGTGCCCAGCACTCGCTGATGATTTTGGCCATCTCACACATCAACTGAGGGAGGAAGAAGACATCATTATAATTAAGGTTGGGGCAAAGGTAGAAATACTAGCAAAACATGAACCTATAATAGCAATTCAATTAACAAGTTAGTTATTTAAAAAACAGAAATATCTTATAGAAAGGTTGGGATAAAAGTAGCAATACTAGCAAAATAACTAGATGCACCTATGCTGGCAATTTATTAACAATTAAAATAGTAATTAAAAAAAAGAATAAATTACAGCAACACGGGCTAAGGTAGCAATACTTGCAAAAATACCTAGATACAACTATGCTGGGAATTCATTAACAATTAAAATAGTAATCTAAAGGAAGAAATTTCTTACAGCAATGTTGGGGCAAAGGTAGCAATACTAGCAAAAATAGCTAGATGCACCTATGCTGACAATTCATTACAATTAAAATAGTAATCCAAACGAAGAAATATCTAACAGCAAAGTTGGGGGATAGGTAGCAATACTAGCAAAAATAGCTATATACAACTACGCTGTGAATTCAATCAACAGAATTATAGTTATGAAATGGAAGAAATATCTTACAGGTTCTTTAGACCACTTGTTGGGTATGGGTGGCCGGTGCTGCTCTACAGTGACCACCTGTATCATGTCAGGGAACCCTGGGTCAGCTGGTACCACATCCCAGTAGGGGACTCTGTACTCTTCTGCAAATGCTGAAAACAAATTTGGTGTTTGTTTTTAGCAACGTCAATTTAAAAAATGATAACTGTAAAATTTATAAAAAAAAATAAAAAATCAATTTTGTCTCTAAGTAAACTAGCTTCATAGAGAAAAATTTCTAAAAAGCTAAGCACTATAAGAACTAAAAACTTAATGAGCCTCCAACTGGAGGATTAAGTAACACATTGTAGTGCAAGAACTGCTTTATTTCTGTGATGAATGAAATTTCAATTCAGTTTATGCATTTAATTCTTTTTATTGCTATTTCAGCATTATAGAGCCTCATAAGAATTATATCATAAGAATATGCAGCTTGCTCAAACACTGAACAAATAAACTCAAAGTAGTTTATGATATAGGTGTTTGTTGCTTAAACACTAGCATAAAAAATAATTCTACAACTGCCTTGATAAATATTTTTGAAATATCAACAGATAAAACCAATGCACAATTTTAAAAATTCGGAGTTCTAAAATATATGGTTTCCACAAGATTTAACATTAAGTTTTAACAAATGATCTATGTATCAATAACCCTGACTCACGTCTTGCTCTTCTTGATATCTCCCATAAGACCAGACCAAAAGAATAAACATCTGCACACTTGAAGGACTCAAAAAATGCAGGATTTAGTGTCTCTGTTAGTACCTCAGGTGCCATGTAACGTTTGGTACCCACACGCTGTCAAACAGAATCATACAACTTGTATTACATACAACACAAGTCAATTACAAAGGATCATAGAGAAAAAATGTATAAATAACTAAACAGTTTATAAAATATTTAAATTTTAAATATTTAAAGTATTTGTTGCATATAAACTGCCCGCTCCAATATTAATATAAACTGTAATTTACTATTACCCCTTCAACATGACAGAAACATTGTAATACTAATACAGTCCTTTGTTATAAAAATGAAAAAAGGTTAAGATCTAGTTAAATTGTAACATTTAACACCACAATTAATGTTAAAACTCATGGCTAAAGCTTATTTCAACTTTTCTCACACTTCCATAACAAGTTTTTTTTTTAGTGACGAAGTGAAAACAGTATGTGATGGACATAAATAGCACATGAACCTACCAGTTTACTGGGGTCTATGTCAGACTCTAAGCTGTCACTCCTAACAGCATGCCCCAGGTCTCCTAGACAACACTGGCCATTGTCTTTGACAAGAATATTTTTTGACTTGATGTCCCTGGAAAACAAAAGAAATGAGTTATCTCCCTGTCTGGTCACAATGTTTTTAATCACAACAGCTGCTTGGGATGCTAAATTCTCTCCCCTCCCCCAAAATGACTGACATGAAGTTAAATTTATAAATAAACATATATAATAAAATACTTAAAAAAAACTTTTTAAAAAACCACGTTTTTCTTGTGGACTAAAAAGTAGAAAATAACTATTTACATACATTTGATGACAAAAAACGTGGGTACGTTCACCATCAAATTTCCCGACCCATCTGCCCGACCCACGTTTTTTGTCATCAAATGTATGTAAATAGTTATTTTCTACTTTTTAGTCCACAAGAAAAACGTGGTTTTTTAAAAAGTTTTTTTTAAGTATTTTATTTTCTCCTTTTTAGTCCGTTGCTACACATGAAAAACGTGGTTTTTAAAAAAGTTTTTTATATAGTTTATTTTCTACTTTATCTAATGACTTGATTAAGTATGAATTGACTAAGTGTTTATAAATACACGGACTAAAAAAATCTTGAGCGACCAGGATTCGAACCTGGGTTGTCGCGGCCACAACGCGAAGTACTAACCACTATACGATCACGGCCAGCGCGCTCACATCGATTGGGGCCGAAGTAACTGTGTCTATAAGCCTCCAGTCTTGTCGGTATCTTTAGAAATCATGTCCTCAATTTTATGGTCCTTGGGGCGTAATTAAATTAAGCTAATTACCGTCTCTAATTGCTAGTTTTTATGATTGCATCTGAAATTGTTAGGCGAAAGTAGCCTACATGCCAAATTTCAGATCTATTGAGCAATCAGAAGTGGGTTAATTTTCGATGTCAATTTTAACAACAAACACACGCGAAGCTGAGTTAATAAAAACGTGTTAAAAATAGGTAAATAATATGTAAATAAAATAATATGTAAAAAAAAAAAAACCCATTCACAACAAAATCCCACCGACATAGGGGTCAGATAGGATCTGATTTGAGATGGGGTTATAATAAGGATGTAGTAAGATTTTGTTATTAATATCATGTATGTCTTGTTTGGAAAATAATATTTGCCAACTAGTAACATTTTTGTACTTTTTTATTTCCAGTCTTTATTTGTTCAAATATTTATTTAAAATTTTTAAAAATGGCCAGTATGAAATAGACCATGCTGGATATGAGATGTGCTAGTGAGCCTGATGTGGACATAATGCACCTACCTGTGTGCTATGGCAGGTTTCTCATGTTTCCCTGTTCCCTCCTTGATCTCATTGTGAAGGTGAGCCAGACCTGCAGCAGCTGAGTGGGCCAGGGTCAGCATCTCCTCCATGTCAATATCACTGCGCTGTAAGTAGAGGGTCAGTTATAGACTGGTCAGTGGCTAATTGTCTAGTGTAAAGTATGGATTCATGTCAATATCACTGCGCTGTGAGTAGAGGGTCAGTTATAGACTGGTCATTGGGTAATTCATGTCAATATCACTGCGCTGTGAGTAGAGGGTCAGTTATAGACTGGTCAGTGGCTAATTGTCTAATGTTAACTAGGGAATTCATGTCAATATAACAGAGCTGTGAGTAGAGGGTCAGTTACATATTAGTCAGTGTTAACTAGGGCAGCTGAGACACTGAGACAATCAGTGTATTCTTAAGGTTTACATAGCGTCAGTTTGACAGTCAAAATTATTCATGAGCTTTTAATTTAGGCTGTTAGAATTTTAATAGTGAATTTCATGGATATGCCAAAAATTGATAAAAAGATGAAATTGTACAAATATTATACAAGGGCCAATGTTTTAATGGGATGGCAAAGTCGGATGGTAACTAAAAAGTCATGATTTAGGATTTCCCAAAATCCACCCAGCTCTAATGGAAACCTGACTCATTAGTGAAAGTCAAGGTAGCTGGGTAAAGATTAACCAAACTATACTTTCATATGCAGTGGTAAACTCTACTTCACCTTCCCATTTTGACAGTCAGGGAGAGGGATCTATTTGTTTTTTAATGTTACCACAGTATGCAAAAGCTAATTACATCTGTGAGTAGCCTTTATTCACTGAACTGATGTTTTGTTAAAGAAGTGTTGCACAAGCCATAATTTAAGCAAATTCTAATATTGTTTTATTTAATAACAAGATATAATTAGATCAAATTCTCATATATTAATTGTGTTAATTAATAATACAAGCTATAATTTAATCAATTTCTCAAATATTAACTATGTTATTTAATCACAAACCTGCAAGTAATCGTATAAAGAACCATTATGGTGGTAGTGTACAATCAGCCAGTTCTGCGTACAGGACAAGATGCCCACAGTGTCCGAGGCGTAGTAGCCTAGGATGTTCTCATGGCGCAACATGCCGGTGTTGTAGATCTCTGTCTCGTGGTTCCAGCTGGTCTCATCAATGGAGGAGAAAGTCTTGACCGCCACGTCCTCATCCAGCCACTTGCCGCGCCAGACTTCACCAAATCTACCTTTGCCTGGGGGAAAGTAAAAATTAATGTGTAAAATAAAATTAATTATATGGAATATTGTTTTTTCTTTATTTGGGCCTGTTCAGGTTTGTGTGAATGTGATTTGTGTTTTTAGGGACGGCATGGTAGAGAGCTCGACTGCTAACCCGTGAGTTGAGTTTAAATCTGGGTTCAAATCAATGGAATGTACCTAAGCCCACCCAGCTCTGATGGGTACCTAACTTACATTAGGGAAACAAAGGTGCAAACATAGGGCTGACCACACTATCCCTTGACATGCCGAGATCTATGAATCAGATGAACTCTACTTCATCTGCCCCATGTGTCTTGGGCATGAACAGGATTATGAAGAAGATAATTTGTGTTTGTGAAGGGTAGTTTAGTTGTGTGGAGATGCTGAGTTCAGGTTTGTAATTGTCATTTTGGTTGGGATTGACTGTTTTAAAAATAAAGGCTTTATTTTTAAAATGGCTTCACAGCAAGTTATTTATTGCAATGTACAGCCCACCTTCCCATATTATTTCTTGCATTAACCAGAGTAAGATTTTTATTACACATTCAACATTGTTAAAAAAAAACGGATGTCAGTAAATACTGTACAAAAACCAGCAGGTAAAGATTTACCTATTTTCTCTATGAGAGTCACTTGTTTACCAACTGTCCTGCGCACTAATATAGGCTGACCAGAACCACTTCCTGTTGACCACTGGTCCTGAAGATACAAATAGACATTGGCTATTCAAATGTTCTTACATGATAATCCTAAAAACACACACAATAGACAACAAATTCTATATTTTAAAAATTTATCTACTGGATTTAACTTGGTTTAAAAGAAGGTCAAAAAGTTGGTTGCTTGACATTATTTACATTTTAAACAAATAGGCCTAATAAACATTCATGTTTCTTATTAAATGAGAAAAAATTAGTTCTAACAGTTAAACATAAGGGCAGTGAGATGGGTGGTAAAAGAAACAATGACAGGAGGACAGCTAGGAGCAGCAGGTCCTGACTTGTGTATGGACACAAGTGTATTTTTATTTTTTATTTTTTCCTGACCTCTGAAAGTATTCAGTAAGTTTATGGTGAACTATTTCCTCAATGTAGGGTTATCTCCCCTGTTCTTGTTGCCTAACTAACTTCAGCACAACAAAGGGTTAGTTATTCACAACATTTGGTTTTTTTTTTTAATGTAGTGTATTTATTATTTTATTGGTTGTGTGGCCTCTTTTTATTTGTTAGGGGTTTACCTTTGTTTTTTCATTCATGTTTCATTTCTCTATATTTCCCTATGTATTTATACAGTTTAGTGGTATGCATGGAAACAAAATGCAGAGACAAGGTAGATAACTTATGGGGAATAGGTATGAAATATAATGAGCAGGTATACCAAAACACAGTGACTAATGTACACAAAATATATTGACTAAGGTAGACAAAAGATGGTGACTTGGTATACATAACACAGTAACTATGGTAGACAAAAGACAGTGGCTAAGTACACAAAACACAGTGACTAGGTACACAAAACACAGTGACTAAGGTACACAAAAGACAGTAACTTAGGTAGGCAAAAGACAGTGACTAAGGTAGACAAAACACAGTGACTTAGGTACACAAAACAACACAAAATACAGTGACTAAGGTAAACAAAACACAGTGACTTAGGTACACAAAACAACACAAAATACAGTGACTAAGGTAAACAAAACACAGTGACTTAGGTACACAAAACAACACAAAATACAGTGACTAAGGTAAACAAAACACAGTGACTTAGGTACACAAAACAACACAAAATACAGTGACTAAGGTAAACAAAACACAGTGACTTAGGTACACAAAACACAGTGACTTAGGTACACAAAACAGTGACTACAGTAGGCTAAAGACAGTAACTTAGGTACCTGTTTCAAGCCATCTTGGAAACCTTTGTACATGCTATCATCCTCCAACAACCTGGCCTCAGCATTGGGCAGCAGGCCATCTGCCCTGCGCTTGTGGTAAACTTTTCTTACAATCAAGAATATGATGGGGGAGATGATAAACATGGTCAGGACGGCCGACACTACGATGACCACCTTCACAGTGAAGCTCATCTCATCATCTTCTGCAATACAGAAATAATTTCTAGGTAATTACATGATCAAAGACTGTATGTTAGGTCAAGGCATCAAGTTGTTTCTGTGGTCAAGGAGGGAGTACAAGATTTTATGGTCTATGTGGCTATGGATCTAAAGATGGGGGTTATGTACTATCATTAGGCTATGAACCTTTCTATGATTATACTATCAATGTGTGCATTACTAACAGATGGTTATGAACCTATGATAATGCTAATATAGGGACATTACATTCTAATTTCTGAGCTGGTAGCTTATGCTTATAAATTATGAGCATGACTAACCCACAGCTGTAGCTGGTAGATTCTAAAGAGCATGACTTACCCACGGCTGTAGCTGGTAGGTTCTAAAGAGCATGACTTACCCACGGCTGTAGCTGGTAGGTTCTAAATTCTGAGCATGACTTACCCACGGCTGTAGCTGGTAGATTCTAAAGAGCATGACTTACCCACGGCTGTAGCTGGTAGAGGCTCCACAGCCAAGTTGAGGTTGCACAAGTCCCCCTCACAACACTTGAAGAAGCCAGCATCAGCATTGGAGTTGCAGTTCATGTTGGAAGACTCCACTGTGCCAAAACAGTTCTTCTCCACCTCCAGACCCCCATTGATGTTGGTGCTCTTGTGGACATAGCACTGGGAAACAGACAAGGTATCTCATTACATTTTCAGCAGGGCAGAGGCGTATCGAGGGGGTGTGGGGGGTACATTTGTCCCCGGGCGCCGACCCGAGGGGGCGCCAAAATCGGTAAAAAAAAAATATGTAAAAGCTTATTTTAGTTCCAGTTTTGTATTATAAATATAAAAAATATTTGGGGAGGGGGGCGGGGCCCAAATTGAAAGTTTGTCCTGGGGCGCTGGGAAGGGTCGCTACGCCTATGCGGCAGGGTATATAGAGAATTGGTGCTGGTGTAAAAAAAAAGTATGCAATTTGGCTTATGGCTATGGTAGAACTTGAGATGGCATTAGCACTGACATTAGCAAGTTATGCTGGTATTTGGCATACTAACAGTATCTTATCATTTTTTAAGTAGATTTCATTTTTGTTGCATCATAGGAACAGTATACTATGTAGGCCTGCAAGACCAATAAATTATTAATTCAACTGTTTACAGCATGTAGTCTAGTTTCTTGACATGTGTACATAATTCTTTATTAAATAAAGAACATGATCACCCAGTTGCATTTAAAAAACTTAAGTCTCTTTATATTTCTAATACAAAACAAATACATAATTTAAAGCATATTTAGTATTGTTTCTTAGTCTATGTAACTCTCCACAATTATTTAAGTACTTCTGCATCTCTAGGTCATTTTGAGCTTTTATTAAGTCATGGTAAAATAGTGAAATGAAGAATGTATTAAGTAGTCCCTTAACTGTGTTTATTTTACAATAGACAGTAGGAAATGAGATTCCTATGTTATTGTTATTTAAAGCATTATTAAGGTGTTCATTATAATAGACTAAAACAAACTAAGATTCAATATAGATTCAATATCTCATTACATCAGTGCCCAATTATTACTGACACTAACTAATCAAGCAAGAATGATAAACAGATATGTTTATTTGCTCAAGTCAAGATGTTTTTCCTAACTCACAGGAACAAAGAGTTCTCTTAAGCACTGAACAGGGTAAGCAGTAACCCAATCCTACCATCACATTAGCACCAAAAAAAAAAAAACCTACACAAGAGCTGTGGATGAGTCAAAAATCACACCATGTTAAGATTGACTCAGGCTAACAGTAGAAAGTCTACCCACCTTTCCTTCAGTGAAACAATATTTATCATTCTGGTTAGGCCCACAAGCAGGTGGGTCGCAGGCACATCTGTACCTAACTTCAGTTGCATTCTGGCTGGAAAAAACTGGCGTGCCTGCAAACAAAAAGATAAAAATCATAATTAACTAATTAATTGATTAATTAATGATACAGTTTTAAGTAATCCAACTGATGATGGCACCAAAAGAGAATTTGTGTATTTATATATAAACTCTAGTTCACACTTTCAGCACCTGCATAAAATGTGTTTGGTAAGCCACATTTATTGCAGAAATTATAATGTAGAGATGAAAGCAATCTTTTTTGTAGTTTTTTAATCAAAGCTTTTAGTCTAAGTTAATTAATTGTAATAATATATTTTTAAATACTATAAAGCAGTAATTCCATAATCTAATCTGAATACAATATCATGATAATAAATCCCAATGCAACTGATGAAACCCACACCAGTGTGTATGTTTGTGAGGAATGACAGAGCATTGTGTAAGTAGAGTTGGAATCTTCTGTTTGTATGATGTGTTCATTCTTAAACAGTAAATACCCTTTAGACCTAAAGAGCTCATAAGGGAGATAAATAAGTCCTATGCCTTAAAAGAATCTTGTGATTGTATATCTGCCTTTCCTCATGTTTACTCAGGCACCCAATAGAGCTGAGTGGACTCAGGAAAACCCTACTCAACTACGGGAACCAAATTCAACATGTTCAGGTTAGCAGTAACATGCTCTACCACCCCACCCCACGTCACTGCTCAAAACCCACAAGCATTACATCTTGCGTTACTCTGATACCCTGATTACATAATGAAGTGGCCGGAGTGCAGTTTTATTACAAAACAATTGAAGCACTTAAGCAGCAATGTGAATGCCAAGCATGGTGTAACTGTAAACCAATTCTGGCACCGCCTGCGCTCTCTGGAAATCATCTCTTGTGTATGTGTAAACAATTTTAAAAAAAAAACCTCATGTGCTTTTAATATCCCCCCTAGCTCATCCTCAGATAGATCTATACCTCTAAAATTTGGCATTTTATTTCACACACTGGTCTCATGCAACCTCTGTTCTCCATTAACTTGGATAGGGAAAGAAAGAAAGAAAAAAAAGGTGGGATGGATCTTATTTCTTCTTGTTAGTAATTAAGGGATGTCTAGAGACTACCGGCACCAACTGTTACACGAATGGGATCCAAGTGTTCTCACAACGCACACAATGGATAGATCACTTGTGGCTGAGTAGAACAATAATATTATGAACAATCAATTGGCCAGGATGTTGAAGCAGGGTGTTTAGTCTAGGAGACAGATTAAAAGAAAATTAACAGCAAACTTGCTGTTGTTTTCCCTGCTGTCTGGGTATTATGCCAGCTGCCGGGGCCTGAATTGTGCTGGGTTAGAATAACATCAGGCTCTCTCACCCCCATATGTCCATCAGGTAAATTCAGATAATTATTTCCCTTGTTTTCTTCTTTATGAGCGGAGTATAGTTTTGTATTATAAATATCAAGGAGCTTGGGAAGATCAGTGTTACTCTGGGAAATGAAATTGTTTTAATAAACCGGGGAATTTTTAGCATAAACAAAGTTTCTCTGGATCACTTTATCTAGATCAGGAGTTTGGGGAAAGCAGCTCTGTACTAATTTATTTCAAACCATGGGGAATTTCATTAAAGTTGGATTAAGTACTTCTTAAAATAATACATTTTATACAAAAAGAACTCAAAATAAAACATTAAAAAATTTAAAATTTTTGCTGGATAAGGGAAAAATATAATTTAAAAATTAATTTTAAATAATTATCTAACTCTCTCTTGAATCCATAATTATCTAACAATAAAAACAATTATGGAAATGATTACAGCTTTTTTTTTTTTACATTTCCTTCACAATTTAGTTAATTTATTAAAACAGCTGTGTGAAAAAAATATTTCCTCAGGTGTTAATGATGAAGTGTGTGAAATAAGCCTAATGAGACGCGTTCTCTCTTTCAAAAACTGGCAAGTGTTGTGTAAACTGCTTCTTTGTTCTAGCCTTGATTCAGGGATCATGGCTTAGTTCCCACACTAGCTACCCATCACTTTGTTTTGTTAAGCGATATCTTTCACTTTCATTTCCGCAAAATACTGAAGTAATTATACCTATTTTTTTTTCTTTTGTCGGGGAACTCCTTTTTCAAAGGATTAAATTACAAGACAATGCTTATGTATAAAGTGGAGCTTTTAGACAGTACTGCCACTGGTACAGAAAATGTACAATATTCATTTTATTCATATTATATTTTCTGGTAAAATTAAGTATGAAGCAGCAACCTATAGAATGGGATGGGCTGGCTTAGCGGTAGAGCTCTAGATTTCTAACCCGAAAGTCTCGAGTTCAAATCTGGGTTCAAGTCAGTAGAATGTCCCTTAGTTCACTCAGCTCTGATGAGTACCTAACTCATGCTAGGGAAAGTAAAGGCACCTGGGCATAGTGCTGACCACATAATCCCTTCATATGCCAAGGTCCCAAAAAACAGGTGAACTCTACTTTGCCCCCATAGACAAAGCATCAAAATCCATAAGTGAGGATGGATTGGGCAAACAGGAGAACAAGAATATATCACCAGGCAGGTCATAGTGCCACAGAAAATGAAGCAAGGGTTGCAGGAATTACATGAGCCCAAATAAAGAAAGCCACCCAGAACCCACTCACATGGGTCTCACAAGATCAGATTAGTATTAAATTAAATTCTGTAACTCTTCATTTTCTAAGACTTCTATCTTCTATTAGTACAGATAAAAGTGAATATAAGCACTAAATTTAACTAGTATATGTTAAAGTAAGGATGTGACGTAATGTTTAAACAACACTGAACCAGATATATTGTACAAAGTTGTACTGGTTTAATTTAAATAGTTTAAGAAACTTTATTATGTCCCTTTAGGTAAATGAAGAATTATGTCCCTTTAAATACACGAAGTAGTAAATGACTGCTTTAATTGGAGGATCTTTTGTACTGGTTTACTTTAAATAGTTTAAGAAACTTTATTATGTCCCTTTAAGTAAATGAAGAATTATGTCCCTTTAAATACATGAAGTAGTAACTGACTGCTTTAATTGGAGGATTTTTTTATTGTATTAATTAGGCCTAACGATTTAAAAAAAAATATAAACTGTTGTCTGACTAAACCTTTCATTTCCCACCTAATTGTACTCACACCCACACAAACAACTCTCACACCCACACAAACAACTAGGGGCCTTGAGAGAACAAAAACACGGCACACAGAAACAGGCGGAAGCCAAACAACTGCTAGTAAGAGAGGGCTACCGGCAGCTATCCATGTCGATTTTTTTTGTTATGGTGAACGCGATGGTTTTAATAAGAGCACTTAGCCACTTTACCACATGTGGCACACTGATGTAATTACTGGAAGCGGGAGGCGGCACGACCATACCCATTTGTTGGCTAATAGTTTTTCCGCACTCTGATTGCTCGCTCTTCATCTCAATATTTCCTCATTACAATATTTCCGTATCTCATTATCTACTTTATAAAAAGGGATTGAAAAAGTTTATTAAATACTCATGAAGTATGTTTTAAAAAAAATTATAATTCAGCGGGAGCGGGGGAGTACAAGGGTTTGGGGGAACAATGTATGAATATGACAGTTCATAAACAACGCAAATTTGATAAGAAAAATTCTTAAGAAAACAACACAATTTTATTTATCAAAGTATCTATATATATAAAATCCAACAAAGTCAGACTCTTAAGCTCTTCGTCTGAGTTTGAAGTCCTATTATTAGCCCACACAGCCTAGCTTATATGAGCACAATTCATTCTCACAAAGCCACTGGCGACGACATTCTCAGTGGATTTCTATCGATGCATACATGCGAATCCCCCGTATGAGGGCTGATTGAGTAATACGGCTAGCGGTAAAGGGGTTAAACGGCAGCGTTATTGACAACCCGGTGTAGGGGCTAGTAAATCGCCCTGATATATTACCATAAATTAAATAGAAATATTTTTCGTTTCAAACGGAGTGGTTGTCGATAGGTGAAAGCACGCACGATTTACGCTCCCCTCCCCAAACATGATGTCGTATTTTTTTTTAAAATCCGGACTAAGGCTGGAGGGAGGGGGGAGGGACGGGGGGGGGGGGGGGGGGGGCGGGGACGGCAAGATACATTTAAAGTGTGTACTATGTATATAAAAAAAAAATTACAGCAGCAAATATTTCTTTTCTCAGCATCTAAACTTTAAACACAAAGTTTGCTTTAAATATGGATTATGGTTATACTAATAGATATAAATACTTGGGTAAAAATGTGAATATTTTATAGGGGTTGGTGGGGGGTTTGGGGTGGGTTCAATGGAGGCACAATGACAAAGATGTTCTAAGCAAACCATTATATATATATATATATATATATATATATATATATATATATATATATATATATATATATATATATATATATATATATATATATATATATATATACACCAACAATATATGTTTAAATACAAGGTTCGTATCCTTGCAATGTGCTTTCCTATTATCCGAACAAATTTAGCACCTCCGCCCTGGGTGTGAAATGCTATTGACCTCAGAATTTCCTTTAAACTCGGCTTTGTGTTAACACAGAAAAGGGGAGCCCAAGAAAAAAGTTGTGTGTTTTCATATACTAATTATATGTCGCTGTTTCAAATTGAGACCCCGACTCTTACACATACTGACATATACATACATACAGCGTATATACATACACATGTTATACATGTATACATCAATTTTACAAGCACATATTTATTATAGGCGTAAGATTATAAGCAAACATAACACAAAAATCGTAATTAGACAAACGTTTTGAAATTATCTCTGAAGTTAATTTTTCAATTGATGTCGAAATGGCGGACTGACCAACAATAGCCTTTGTTCTGCAGAGTTCAATGTCCGTTTCAGGTTTGGCACGAAATACCAAATATTTCTAAATTTGTATTTCATTTTTTTTCCGATAATAATTACATTGGCATTTTTTAAGAATTATTTTAAAAAATTAATGAAGTTTAAAAAAAAAAATCTTTACCAACCCCTATCATACACCTAATACTT